GAAAACTTTGAAAACGATATACATTTATAACTTGCACAACCTTTCAAATATACAACCAAAAAGTTAAAATTAACACAAAACGAGACAACATAATGTCTAACGAGACAAAATACATAAATATCACATGACTGCCCAGTAAAGCACTTATAAAAATTACCAATGGAATGATCAGTTATATTGTTAATATTATAATATATTATTTATACATATATTGCGTAAATAGAGCACACAATTAAATTATCATTAAGTATAATACAATAAAACTAAATATGTTCAAGATGCATAGTATGGTTATCTGAATATAACATATATCATTAGTTTTAAAAGTGAAAAACAATGTTTGATCTTTGAAGCTTTCCTCTAGATTTCCCAGTCCAGAAGAACACAAATAATTGTTTCCATGTTGAACTTGAAAAAAAACCAACTAAGTCCAAATAACTGTTCATAAGCCAACACTGAAGGATGCAGTAGAAAAGATTTTTTTAAGAAACTAAATACAGTTCCAGATGAAAAAGAAATCTATATTATATGGATTAAATATGGTTCAGGTATCACAGATCAAATTTATTCGTTCATTGTGTATTAATTTACGTTTTTTGATTGAGTTAAGCTTTCCAATTGATATTTTATAGTGTGTCTTTCTATGTTGTGATGTTATACTATTGTTTCAGAAAAGGGAGAGGTTTGGTACCATTAAAACGTTTTATCCCGCTGCAAATGTTTGCACCTGTCCTAAGTCAGGAATCTGATGTACAGTAGTTGTCGTCTGTTTATGTAGTTCATACGTGTTTCTCGTTTTTATATAGATTAGACCGTTGGTTTTCCCGTTTGAATGGTTTTACACTAGTAATTTTTGGGGCCCTTTATAGCTTGCTGTTCGGTGTGAGCCAATGCTCCATGTTGAAGGCCGTACCTTGACCTATAATGGTTTACTTTTATAAATTGTTACTTGGATGGAGAGTTGTCTCATTGGCACTCATACCACATCTTCCTATATCTATCCCCTTGAGTAGGTTTATAATCATATTCAAGTCTTCTGACTGTTCTATGCTACAACTTTACATGTAAATTTGTGAGGATTTAATATTGTTTATATTCTTTGGTATTAAATTAAAATAAATACAACATAAAACATAAGGAATGCATTATTAATTGACTGATCATTTTCTTGAACCAATTATCAAGGAATGAAAAAAAAAAAAGTACTGCCTTATGCAATAAGTATTTATCACCTACAATTTTTTGCAATATATGGTGGGATTTTAACAGACTTAGTACCAAAAGAAGCTAAAATGTCACAGGTTTTTTTTTTATTTGTTTACTTGGTTATACTTTTATTATCAGACTTTCTCATTTTCTGATGATATATACACAAGTTTTATTTTTGACCAGAAATTTGCTATACATTTACATATAACCAAATTAAATTGTAAAAAAATAATATACATGTTCCAATCAGGAGAAAATAAAAACAACTGAAGACAAACCTATGACCAAATAAACAAATATACTTTAGACAAATCTGTGTCTTTCGTCACATGGTTTGTTAAAAATCCTTAAATGACTTCAAAATTTTTTAGTTGTATACAAGGTTTTATATAAATCAAAGTACTGAAGTACTGAACATCGGATGACCACAAGTTCTTGAGGATGGTCAAAAGCACTTGTCTCAGAAAAAAACAACATATCTCTTTACCTAAAACTGAGGTTAATGTACAGAGATATATTTTTTTCTAAGACAAGTTCGTGCGTGGATGATGAAAAATTCGATTTTTCTAAGATTGGATACGAGTAGGCATTCATATTTTCCCGCAAAATCAATTACAGAGTTACCGGTCCTTGACGGTATTTTCACAAAACGTTCTTTGAGATATTCTTCCGCATGCTTTAACACAATTTTTCGGTACGTGTGCATTGATATTATCAATGATTTTTTACTTATATATATATATCTAACTACAAAACATTTTCATATTATTAATTTATGTTGTAAACAAAAATATTTTTATCAGTATTCATTGAAGAGATGTATTTATATCAAACGATAAGGAATGTTATTTTGCACTCGTTTATGTGCGCGTATTTATCATGTTTATAGATCGGTTACAAACCCAAAACTAATTTACATAATGGAAATCTAGGCGATAGCAATACATCTCGATGTAAAAATATGGCAACAAAATACTTATTACAAAACACTGTACTTAAATATACATTTTCAAAAGATTAGCTTAGTCTACTCAATTTAACAAACAGAACCCATTCACAGGTGTAAAATCCTATCATTACGAAAGGAAAACTTATTTTTCAATATTGCATTTATAAAAATGTCTCAATGTCATACATGTATATATATTTCTCTTGCACTGCATAATGCCACATTGTATAATAATAAGTACACAACCAGAAATTCTAATTATCCCATAATTTACATACTGCGGACTCATTAATATTCGTGGGATACCAATTTTCATGGATTTTGTGGGTATAAATAATTCACCAATTTAGATGTTCAACTAAGTGCTAATTATGTACAGAATTGTATGCAGACTTTAGTAAAACCACCAAATCAAATATCCACGAAAATTGGTACCCATGAAAAATAAATGAATCCACAATAATCTTATATGATCACAAAAACTACTATCAGTATATGATAAAAAGCTGAAGCTTTTACATCCAGTTAAAAAAGACACAACTTGCAGTATAAGTTCATATATCAATTTAAAATAAAAATGAATAAATATATATAAAACTGTTAAAAAGAAAATGGAATGTACATATTCATTTTTCATGAATAATAAAGAGATAAAAAATAACATATTATATTTTTAGAATAGCTCATGGAAGATCTTAATATATATACAACTGTTTATAAGATCAAAATCAGAAATAGCTTTTTAAGCATGAACTTTGATGCTGGTGTTTGCTTGATATGTTAAAAATTTTAGTGGTGAATCCAGAACTTTAAAAGGGGGCTGGATTATTTATAATGTTTCTCTAATTCTTTGGCAATTTAACCCTTTCCGGACCCATTGTATAAACAAATTTAATCAACGTGTAATTGCTGATGATCTCAGAAGATGATTGGATGAGTCTAAGGGTCATTACCTTTAAAAGCTCACTGGATGAATGAAATTGTGCTAACAGGTGTTAATGAAATTGACAACTTTGTGGAATGTGGAAGGCACTCGAATTGGATTTTCATTTATCAAAAATGAAAATGTATTTGATAATCATTAGAGAAAGAGATTCTTACATAGTTACTTGTGGATTATCAAATTTATCCAATCTCGATAGTAAAATTATCAATTTTAAAATTCGACAGTTTAACTATCTCGATTGGATAAATCTGATAATCCACTGGTACCAATGTAAGAATCTACATATATATATAACCTTAAGGCTGAAACAAGTTTACATATAAGTTTTGTAAATAATCGATCATTAACAGTATAATGAAAGGAATGTTTAAACAGCAATAAATCTTTCAATATGCAAGGAAATCTATGCAGGGTTGAATTTCCACATTTATTAGCTGCCAATAACAAAGGAAAGCTTAAACATATGCGGAAAAATGATATACAGTATGTTGTACCCCAAAAAGGGCAGGGGAAATTTTTTGACATTTTTCTTTGGCAGTGCATAGGGAAAGGGGAATAGTAAAGACAAATATAACACTGGTTAAAGACAAAAGGGAAAGGGGAATAGTAAAGACAAATATAACACTGGTGAAAGACAAAAGGGAAAGGGGAATAGTAAAGACAAATATAACACTGGTTAATGACAAAAGGGAAAGGGGAATAGTAAAGACAAATATAACACTGGTTAAAGACAAAAGGGAAAGGGGAATAGTAAAGACAAATATAACACTGGTTAAAGACAAAAGGGAAAGGGGAATAGTAAAGACAAATATAACACTGGTGAAAGACAAAAGGGAAAGGGGAATAGTAAAGACAAATATAACACTGGTTAATGACAAAAGGGAAAGGGGAATAGTAAAGACAAATATAACACTGGTTAAAGACAAAAGGGAAAGGGGAATAGTAAAGACAAATATAACACTGGTTAATGACAAAAGGGAAAGGGGAATAGTAAAGACAAATATAACACTGGTTAATGACAAAAGGGAAAGGGGAATAGTAAAGACAAATATAACACTGGTTAATGACAAAAGGGAAAGGGGAATAGTAAAGACAAATATAACACTGGTTAAAGACAAAAGGGAAAGCAAAAAGGCAAACTATTTTGTCCAATTTTGGCTTGGGAAACAGCTAAAATAGGTAAAAAATTCGTAAGGGTTCCGCGGAACCCAGTGTCTCGCCTACTTTTGCTGTTAATCGCAGGCTCAACAAAAATGAGGAAAAAAATTAATAAAAATATTCCTCTCTATACTATCTTTTGATTGTAAGTAGCTTCTGTCCAAGTTTGGTAAAAATCCAGGATAGTTTATCAATCTAATAAATGTTTTAAAAACTTAAAGTGCAGACTGTATGTAATGTTAACTGGAAGAAAAACTAAGTCCATTTACAAGTAAAATACGGAAAAAATGGAATTTATTTTTTACTTTTTTACAAAATTTACTTCTGGATACTATCTTTTGATCATAAACAAGGTTCTTTCCAAGTTTGGTAGAAATCCAGGATAGTTTAAGAAAGTTATTAAAATTTCAAAAACTTTAACCACAGAGTGAATGTAATGTTTCATGGCAGAAAAACTAAGTCCATTTATAAGTAAAATACAGAAAAAATGGAATTTTTTTTTTACAAAATTTACTTCTGGATACTATCTTTTGATTATAAACAAGCTTCTTTCCAAGTTTGGTAGAAATCCAGGATAGTTTAAGAAAGTTATTAAAATTTCAAAAACTTTAACCACAGAGTGAATGTAATGTTTCTTGGCAGAAAAACTAAGTCCATTTATAAGTAAAATACGGAAAAAATGGAATTTTTTTTTTTACAAAATTTACTTTTGAATATTATCTTATGATCATAAACAAGCTTCTGTCCAAGTTTGGTAGAAATCCAGGATAGTTTAAGAAAGTTATTAAAATTTCAAAAACTTTAACCACAGAGTGAATGTTATGTTTCTTGGCAGAAAAACTAAGTCCATTTATAAGTAAAATACGGAAAAATTGGAATTTTTTTTTTACAAAATTTACTTTTGAATATTATCTTATGATCATAAACAAGCTTCTGTCCAAGTTTGGTAGAAATCCAGGATAGTTTAAGAAAGTTATTAAAATTTCAAAAACTTTAACCACAGAGTTATTATTTGTGGACGCCGCCGACGACGACGCCGACGGAATGTAGGATCGCTATGTCTCGCTTTTTCGACAAAAGTCGAAGGCTCGACAATAAAAATACACATTTCTAATGTTTATAATTATCATCCGATAAGAACGGCAGCATTGTTTGAATATATTCATTTACATGTAAATGCATCATTTTACACGTTAAAAACATGGATTAATTCTGTAAACACAAGATCAATAGTTTTATTTTGCAATATCTTTAAATGGCAGTAAAGCAGGATTTAAATTGTACGTGGAGTATGATATCATAATTTATCCAATTTTTACGATGCTTTCCATCTTCTGAATGTAGCTGCTCCATCTTTCTTCCATTCTTCTGAGGATATAAATATTTGTTCACTAATAGCAAGGTTTGATAGCAATGTTCCTGCACCAATAAAAGCACTGTAATATCTTTGTGGTGAAGCATGTACCTGAAATAGACAAAAAAATACTGGATTTATACAAGCATAGAAAGAAGGTTATGCCAATTCATGTTAACCCTTTTACTAAATCAAAGGTCATGTTAACCCTTTCACTAAATCAAAGGTCATGTTAACCCTTTTACTAAATCAAAGGTCATGTTAACCCTTTCACTAAATCAAAGGTCATGTTAACCCTTTTACTAAATCAGAGGTCATGTTAACCCTTTTATTAAATCAAAGGTCATGTTAACCCTTTCACTAAATCAGAGGTCATGTTAACCCTTTAGCTAAATCAATGGCCTTGTTAACCCCTTCACTAAATCTAAGGTCATGTTAACCCTTTTGCTAAATCAATGACCTTGTTAACCCTTTCACTAAATCAAAGGTCATGTTAACCCTTTTGCTATATCAATGGTCATATCAACCCCTTTACTAACTGAAAGGGTATGTTAACCCAAAAATCAAAACTACATATTGAAAGAATACCAGACCATAGAGGTATGTAAGTTTCTTGGAAATAACCAGGATGTCTCAAAATAAACTTCACCTTAATGATCTCTTAGAAAGGTGTTTGCTTGCAAAATTATTCATATTTCCTTTAAACAGAACTTTTGACATTAATCCCATATGCAGTCTAATTCACACAATATTCCACTTTTGTTTAATAATCACTTTTAGTCATGTTTAGGCCCCCTTAACTTGAAAACTTAATGAAAATATATCTCAACTGAACACTACACTGGCAATCTTGTAGATAGTAGCTGATTTTTGCATAAACTTCTTAAAAGTTAAAGACATGAATAATGCCACCATTCTAGACATAAATGCCTTAGGGCCTCCAGTTTTATACTCTCAACGGTTTCATGGTATACACATAATTTCAAATAAATATATGAAACAAGAATACGTATCATTTAAGGTAACAGGTACGTAAATGGCTTGTCCAACGATTTTTTCAAGAAATTGTATACACGTAGAACTTTTAAAAATACAAAGAAAAATCAAAAAATTTAAGTGAGTAACCAATCTACTTTCAAAGTTACAGTCATTTGAAAATGTTACGGAAACACCCATAAAGTACATAGACATAACGTCAAATTTTCGCCAAAAATTAGAAATTTCAAGCTTATTTTATTCTGCAGTTAAAACCATTCCTACGATTTTTCTATAAAAATTAAATGTTTTTATAGTTGAATTTTTCTTTCTATTGATATATAATTTTCCTAGGGTTACCAAACTCCCTTTTTATATATCAGTCGTTGAAAGTGTGTTGCCGACGGGAAAAGGTTGAAATTGCATGACATCGCCGAATAGGATTACGCAACATCAATTCTCCATCAGCAGAATCGTCGTCTACCAACATAGAAATATTGTCACATAAAGATAACAACCGCTTCATTAAGGTGTCTCTTTGGTTACAATTTGTTCCTCTAAACTAATGCGCTATAGCGCCTATGAAAAAATTATCCTGTCTGAAAAAAAAAGTATTATTTACCGATTAATATTTTTTACGGATTATACGAGACCGTATGCATTCATAACTTATTTCTTCAATCAGTGTGCAGTTTATGTCAATGCACAACAACTCAATGATTAAATGATTAAAGGACATCTTCATCAATGGACATGTGTATATGTCATATGTCAAGCTCTAAATTGTATAGTCTATAAAAGTTATAAACAAATTTAACAGAAAAACTAAAGGTCTGTCCTTAAAATTGAATTCTCCGAATGACGATATACATTCATTGTTCACATTTTCGTCTCGAAAATGCATGAAATATGTGCTGCTGCACCATAAGGGAAGCGAAATATACCAAAGCCGAAAACAAACTGACAATGCCATAGCAAAAAAAACCCAGTAAAAACGGTCAAAAGACAAACAATATTAAACAAAACACAACAGAAAACTTTTCTTTTACCTGATCGTTGCAGAAGGTCATATAATATATATACAGTATATAATTATGTTCCAACGCAACACAAAAATAAACACATACTTCGAGCCCAATAGTTCTGATTTGAATTTTCGTTGTAAATTAAATGGTGTGTTTAATATGATAAAAGGGGATGTCGGATAAACGTAACTTATAGGTAAAAACACAATAAAAAAGATACTTTGAAGTTTGATGCATATTGTCCTTACTCTTTTCTCCTATCCATATTCTTAGTGAGGACTGTGAATTAATGCAAATATTTTAAAATTGTTTTGTGTCGCGTCGAGAAACTAAACATGTAATACAATAACAAATGTATAAGCGCTCAAACAATGTTTTACTAGTTTGTTAATGACAAAATGTATTTTGAAATAGATTCAAGTATCTTCTGGTCTTTTGTTACCCCGGGTTTCCCGTCAAACTGTTCGGTGAGCAATTCCCGTACGCCATCAACACCTCCTCTTTTGCCTGCAAGGATATTAAGATGGTTTAACCGTAAACCAGATCATGCAATTTTGTTCAACATTGACTTTGAACACACAGTAGATGGCGTATTGATAAATGTATCCAGTCCAGATTTTGTGAGCTGCAAAATAATGAGCATGCTAACTCTGTACTGAACAGAAAAGCTGTGATTTTCAAGAACTCTTGAAGGGAGTTTTAACGTGTTAATTAGCTGTTGCAGGGATTGTACATCGCCAATGGCATTATGTGCATCGTAATCTATGCCAACAATATCCTTGTTCGTAAATCAGAAATTTATGCTTATTTTTAATTATTGCGAAAATTGAAAAGAAATATGTATCGCAAAAAATTCTAATTCTAAATTTAAATAGCAGCATGTGTATACAGTATTTACTGAAATTGCAATAGTTAGTGATGAAATTTTGCCCATTAAAATAAATTAATTAATGCACGTACACATTTCTGAATTTTCAGTATAATTTATGTACTTTGCTTATCATTTTATTTTTGAAGTGGCGGTAAAGGGTAATTTTCGTGCAGCGGGTTCCCTTACCGTATTTTCGTGCTTGAAACTCATTTTTCACAATGTTCCATTCAAATTGACTTAAAAGCAACGTGTACACTTATTTTTTTTTTATAATATAACTATTTTATTTCCCGTTTGTCCGTGGACAAGGCCCCATCCCCATGTCGATTCTCATTCAAGTTTATTTTCCTTTTCTCTTGCTTTACCCTTCTGAAGTAATTTCCGACATTATATTTTACAAATTTCATGTCACGCAGCAAATTAATACTTTTGTATCAATATTCTTAATATAAATTGTTTGTTTTAATCCTTTATTTATCACACTTGGTACTAGTACTTTCCACTTCTATTTATAGACCATATCGCGGACGTGAAAGAAAGCACTGTAAACAACGTTTTTTTGTTTTGTATGAACATCCAAATGAGAAAGTGATTATATAACGAATATCAAATTAGTATTAAGCATATAAAAGCGTGTTTCCTCTTTCTTGTCGAGGGTCTCTTAGTGTTCTTAGGTTTTGAGAAATGAATTTTTCTTTTTATACAACTGTAAGTTGTGACTATATTTGCTATGGAATTTCAATATATAAAATGAAAATAGAAAAGTCAACATTATAGTGTGAGCTTTAATTTGTTATTGTGCGAGTGTATGTGTGTATATGCATAGGTTTGTAATATTCTTTCCCTTACTGCATTTTGTATTCACGTCCCATATTCCCTTTTTTGAAGTCTCTGATCTGTGCCGTTTACCAGTGTTTATTACGTTAGTGTATGGACAGTTACCATAAGGTATATAGAAAATACTTCCGAGACCGATTCTTTGTTCTTTTACACAGTTGTGCAGAAGCAATGGTGCAAAGCAGTTCTTGCAAGCTTTAAGTTGGTCAGCTAGTAAACCCAACTCAACCACTCTCCGACCATCACACCATGCCAAGTTACTTTCATTTTCTTGGGAGGGAAGCAATGTTTCAGTCGGACAAGAAATTTCATTTACCATCACTACACTTTTTGTTATATTTTGATGAAGTTCATTCAATACCCCTAAACGGAAATGACCATTTTGAAAATATTTTTCTGGTGTAAGGGAGATAACTCTCATAACAACAAACGTAAATTTTCCCGTTTTCCGTTAGGGGCGTTCATTTACATACCTCTCACCTTAAAATGATGTGCTTCTTTCGCTTTGTAAACAACAACATGATAAAATTCTCAATATATCTATACTTAGCGCAGACTCAGAGATTACATATTGATGGCTGTTACTATTTACCTCCCACGTAAATCCACATGTATCGTAACCTATATGCAAACACTATATCGATTTCGTTGTCTTCAAATTGAAATTGAAAAAGAAACTACAGAACCATTATTCCTATTCTAATGCAAAATAAAAAGAATTAATGCTCAAGAGCTTAAAAAATGTATAGAATCAAAATAAAATAAAATTCCGCGGAATTTCGTGAACGATCTTGGCGCATTAACTTCATGTCATAACATGACGTCATACAAATGAAAACTTTCAAGCTGGAGTATACGCCCTAAGTTCGGATAATATCGTATTAAAATGGAGTGTTGAGGTAGGTGTTGTTTCATTTTCTAATCTATTGCATTATTCATAAAAAAGAAGATGTGGTATGATTGCCAATGAGACAACTCTCCACAAGAAACCTAATGACACAGAAATTATCAACTATAGGTCACCGTACGGCCTTCAACAATGAGCAAAGCCCATACCGCACAGTCAACTATAAAAGGCCCAGAAATGACAATGTAAAACAATTCAAACGAGAAAACTAACGGCCTAATTTATGTACAAATAAACAGCTGCGCCATGAGCGCGTGAATTTTTATGCAATAAGCATAAATAGTTTCTGACATACGGCGTGACATGCGAAAACCCCCTTTTTTTTTTACAAAAAACTCAATCTCTCTAAAATAAAATTTTGAATCAAAACCAAAAAGTATACAGATCTTAAGATTAATATAACTAAGAAGTGTGTAAAATTTTAAGCAATAATCATAAATCGTTTTTGAGATACGGCGCGACATGTGAAAAACCCCTCCCCCTTTTTTTACAAAATACTCAATAACTCAAAAATAAAATTTTGAATCATCACCAAAAAGTATACAGATCTTAAGGTTAATATAACTAAGAAGTGTGTAAAGTTTTAAGTAATAATCATAAATTGTTTTTGAGATACGGCGTGACATGTGAAAAAAAACACACACTTGTTTTAGTTACTAAGTCCCATAACTCAAAAAGTTTTAATCTTAATTTCACCAAAAAGTATACAGATCGTTTGACCATCATAAGAAACAACTATGTTAAGTTTCATGAAATTTGGATAAGTCATTCTCAAGTTACGGTGCGACATGTTTACGCCGGACAGACGGACGGACGGACGCCATACATTTGTATACCATAATACGTCCCGTCAAAAATTTGACGGGCGTATAAAAATGAATGAAAAACAAATATGTAACACATAAACAAACGACAACCACTGAATTACAGGCTCCTGACTTGGGACAGGCACATACATACAGAATGTGGCGGGGTTGCACATTAGTGGATTTCAGCAAGTCAACATGGCGGCTCACTCCTTAGTTACGACATGTCAGCTGTGAATTTGATAGTAAATAGTAGCCAACAGAAAAAAAAATGTTTGGGTTAAGAATTATAAGGATTGAACACATTTTTTTACTGGCTATTTAAGAAATAGTTCAAGCAAGACTTAGATTTATATGAAATTTGTAGCTTTTGTCTTACAGGGGTAAATTAGAACAACCATACCCACGGCAATCTTACCTTCGCTTCAGTTTTTAAATTACCGTATTTGTCCTATTAGAATCGAATAATTCTTGGAACTCATAGATTTGTTGGACATTTACACGTGGCCTTGGCCGTGATATTCATTAATTTTATCCATCGCTAACGCTTAGGACAAAATTTGAATATCACGGCCCAGGCCATGTGTAAATGTCCAACAAATCTATGGCTTCCATGAATTATTTCTTAAATAGTACACCATGCCCTGTTAACACTATTACATTTCAATGTTCAGCAAACTGTGAAATATGGGTCAAAACTCTAATTTGGTATATATTCTTAAAGTTTCACATCAAGATAGACAAGTGTACTAAGCATCAAGTTGATGTTATAACTAATTAATTGAAAACTACCTCAAACCAAACCTTTAACATGATATGGGACAAACTAATTTACAGAATAATGGAAGGACTGACACACAGACCAGAAAACATGATGTCATGGGCCCTATTATAGTAAGTGGGGCATCCTCAAAATAATCTATCTTTACCTCAACTAAAACTGATGGAGGTGCTAATTTCTTTAACTCTGCTTGTAATCTCTCAGAAAATCCTGGTAACATGGTGACACCTCCACTTAAATATATGGCTCTATATCAATAAAAACATAAATTATGATTATAATAAACAATTCCTGTTTGAAGAATTTTCAACCAACATCTTTCATGGGTCTAATGTTTCACAGATTTTATACTTTTTGAAATTATAAAAAATATTATATCATCAAATACATTTCTAATTCAATTTGACAAAAATATTTTTGGCATGAAGAGATGCAATAATTACAATGTTTTTCAGACCCGTTTCAAAATCCTAATTTCTAAACTAAATAGATATAAGAAGATGTGGTATGAGTGCCAATGAGACAACTCTCCATCCAAGTAAAAATTTATAAAAGTAAACCATTACAGGTCAAAGTACGGTCTTCAACACGGAGCCAACGTCCACTCAACAACTTTTAAACCAACAAAAGAGATGACTTCAATTTTCCATTGTGAACTGGCCATATTTATTATGCAATATATTCAAAATTTCAATGGTGTATGTTTGTATACTGGAAATGGTGAAATGTTTTAAGATTTTGACATTGGGAGACCATAAAAAATCACTGACAATGTTGTTAGATTATAAATTTTATGGGGTGACATGTCACTCCACCTGGACACATTATTCAGATTCTTGGCTGATCAGCCTTTGCTCATTAACCTCAAAGCTTTTTACTTAGCTGAAAGCTGCATAAGTCAATGATTTAGATGCTGGTTTGACCTAGATAGAGATCAAATCCTGAACATTTGTAAAGGGTTCTGCAGAACCACCTATACAAATGTTTTTTCATTGGACAGGGCTGAATGGCTTGATAAACCTACCTATACATATGTTTTCTATTGTCCATTGGACAGGGCTGAATGGCTTGAAAGACCTACCTATACATATGTTTTCTATTGTTCATTGGACAGGACTGAATGACTTGATAGACCTACCTATACATATGTTTTCTATTGTCCATTGGACAGGACTGAATGACTTGATAGACCTACCTATACATATGTTTTCTATTGTCCATTGGACAGGACTGAATGACTTGATAAACCTACCTGACTTGATAGACCTACCTATACATATGTTTTCTATTGTCCATTGGACAGGACTGAATGGCTTGATAGACCGACCTATACATATGTTTTCTATTGTCCATTGGACAGGACTGAATGAATTAATAGACTTACCTATACATATGTTTTCTATTGTCCATTGGACAGGACTGAATGACTTGATAAACCTACCTGACTTGATAGACCTACCTATACATATGTTTTCTATTGTCCATTGGACAGGACTGAATGACTTGATAAACCTACCTGACTTGATAGACCTACCTATACATATGTTTTCTATTGTCCATTGGACAGGACTGAATGGCTTGATAGACCGACCTATACATATGTTTTCTATTGTCCATTGGACAGGACTGAATGACTTGATAAACCTACCTGACTTGATAAACCGACCTATACATATGTTTTCTGTTGTCCATTGGATAGGACTCAATGACTTAATAGACTTACCTATACATATGTTTTCTGTTGTCCATTGGATAGGACTCAATGACTTGATAGACCTACCTATACATATGTTTTCTATTGTCCATTGGACAGGACTGAATGACTTGATAGACCTACCTATACATATGTTTTCTGTTGTCCATTGGACAGGACTGAATGACTTGATAGACCGACCTATACATATGTTTTCTGTTGTCCATTGGATAGGACTCAATGACTTAATAGACTTACCTATACATATGTTTTCTGTTGTCCATTGGATAGGACTCAATGAATTAATAGACTTACCTATACATATGTTTTCTGTTGTCCATTGGACAGGACTGAATGACTTGATAGACCGACCTATACATATGTTTTCTGTTGTCCATTGGATAGGACTCAATGAATTAATAGACTTACCTATACATATGTTTTCTGTTGTCCATTGGACAGGACTGAATGACTTGATAGACCTACCTATACATATGTTTTCTATTGTCCATTGGACAGGACTGAATGGCTTGATAGATCAGTTTATGTACACATGGATAATCCATCCCCCACAGATCTGTATTGAAAAAACCTTCAGCACTTTTAAAACAACTAATATCATGTGTAACACTCCTACAATGAAAAAAAATATTTGCATTATTTACTGTAAACCATGGAAGTATTATATTGACAGGAACTCCAACAAACGGACTTCAAACGTTTAAAGTGTGATGCCGCAAAATCGTTAAGTATCTGTTAATTAACTTGACATCTTTCAATTAGTCGTATCAATGCATGGGTTCAACAACGTTTTCGGGATACTCGTAATTACGGAATTTACCGAAGTAACCTGATGTATACATAAATGTTAAGGATATGACATTTAACGACCATGCCAATATTTGGCAGTTGACAGTTTTTTACTAGGTTTTCTATGTTAATAAACTATCGTCACTTACAAATATTTCACTAATCAGTATTGACGTGCACGATTTTGATGATGAAGAATTTGAAAAAATTATCGGTGAAGACATTGAAGAGTTTTATTGCTTTTGTAAATCTGAAACTTGTTCAATAGAAAAGATAAAGGTTGTACGGTGACCTATAGTTGTAAACTTCTATGTCATTTGGTCTCTGGTGGAGAGTAGTCTCATTGGCAATCATATCACATCTTCTAATTTTTATATTCAATTATAATAAATTTCTTGTGTAAGGAAACACATCATGAGTTGTAATCTGCATGTATAATTGAGGTTTACTGCTAACTTTGACAAATATCTTGTTGCATTAGTTACTGAAAGTCTGATGTCAAATATTTCATGCATTTCAACAAAAACAAAATATTATAAATTTCTAAACAAACGCTGCAAGATGTTTCAGATATGTTAAGCCTTTACAAATACATTTAATTCTAATGATAAAATTTTAAGAATATACTGCTTAGGACCCAGCATTATGATATTTCTTTAAATGCATCGAAATATTTAAAATTAAGCCATTATTTCCCAAAACAAGTCTGTCAGACGTCAGAGCAATCACGGACTAGGTTGAAGGTTGTTTTAAACTTTTGAATTTATTCAAAAGGTGTACATGTAATCGGTGTTATAACCTGATACATGCTATATGAAGAGGCCATCACGTGCGTATAATTATCCACCTCTCTTAGTGTTTAAAACATTTTCTATAAATATGTTAAATTACATTTTACGATATTTTACGATAGAGAAAACCATAAATATTTGTGTTACACTCGATTAAAGTTTTCAATCTTTAACTTAAAATTTGAGTTATCCAGCACCATCCGGCACACTACACGTGCATCACATTATTTTCTGCAAACACTCTACTTCAGAGTCATGTAATTTTCATAACCGGATATTTCCCGATTTCCTAGTTCCAGTGATAAAAACATATCAAACAAAACTAAAAATAATATTACCTTCTTTCCGAATACAGTTAATTTTCTTTTGTCATTCTGTTAAATATGGACCGATTTTTTAGATTGTTTCAGCTGTAGTCTTTAATTATTGAACAGAAACAGGTGTCGTTATTCATGTAGTGATTCGCAATTAGCCACGGGAGTTTCCGTGTTAATTTACATTGGTAGGTAGATAAGACCTTCGATAACAGATCACGTGATAAGATCAGTTTCTGTAAACTATACAGGCGAAGGCGGCATCGCAGATACCCAACAAAGAAGTTATCACGTACTTGAAAAACTGAGTCGAACCTTTTATTTTCCTAAAGAAATCAGTGGGATGCGAATGTACTAATTTTTTTGGAGTTCCTGTCAATATAATACTTCCATGTGTAAACAAACATACTTAAAGCAAAATATTTATCGTACTTTTTATTAATCAGGATCCAGGAGAGAATGATTTGATAAGTTTAAAGTGCTCCTTGTTTGTATACTGAGGATTATTATTTTTGGAGTAGTAATTTTCATGGATTTTGTCAGTAATGCTAAATTAAAGTGTTCAGCCAAGTATTAGTTTCTTTGAAGCTTGTATGTAAAGTTTGGGAAAACCACAAAAGCAAGTATCCAGAAAAATACAATTTATTCCAAATCCACGAAAATTGGTACCCACGGCAACAGTTGTGATGTCCAGTAATGGCAGACAAATAGTCATAAGGTGTTTTATTTACATGTGCAGATTCAGAAGGGCGCATCCCAATAAAAAGAGTGTGCCACCCTAACATCAAATCCTGGATCCAAACCCGAATTATTATAACAGACACCAGATTTTGTGTCTGTACCAAGTCAGGCTATCTTGACCATTTGTAGTTCATTGCTGATTGTTTTTGTTTGTTTGTTTTTTTCAGGAAACAGTTATGGTTGATGTGGTCTGTTGTACACATGTATTGTGTATTCTTGTTAGTGATTCATTGTATACATTTTAATGTTATCTACTATAAATGTTGTACTGTGTATTCTTGTTGTTGATTCATTGTATACATTTTAATGTTATGTACTATAAATGTTGTACTGTGTATTCTTGTTGTTGATTCATTGTATACATTTTAATGTTATATACTATATAGTAAAAAGCAGCTAAATGTTAACAGAACAACCACCAGAAACTGCTGTTTTGCTAGTTTTACTTCTATAATACAAATCAGGCAAGTGTCAACAAAATGATAAGCATTGGTTCATGTTAGTGTTATCTATACTTTATATCAAGCTTACTATGGCTAACATTTTCCTCAACTTTATTCATAGTAGATTGTTTAGGTTATCTCTGAGTTTTTTGTTTTGTTTCAAGGTTTATTGGCCTTAAGAATGCATGCTAAATCTTAAATCCATTAAAAAAACTACTTAAACAAAGTAAATTTTATATCCTACACTTTTAAAATATGAAATGGAAAATTAAGTGCGAATTCTAAGGCAGATATTACTGTGTCAAAATTTCAGAAAGATTAGTCAGCTAGATATATCAATAGTTAAGCATCTTCATTTTTGTTGGTAGTATACAAAAATTATAAACAGATAATATTTACTTACAATGTTGCTAAATATAACTTACATATGTGCATCTTCAGGCAGATCAAAATTATTGAGGTATACTGTTGCCTTATAACTATCTGAATCTTTGTCACATTTGCTCTTCATGTCCTTGTAATTTTCACACGCATAACAAGATTGTTCCATCACATATCTGACTAGTAATTTATCAACAGGTGTAACAAAATTGTACTTATGTTCAACTAAAGATGAATTTAAAGAATCTGCTATTTTTTGTCCACCATATGATTGCCGAGACACTCCTCCTTCAATTAGCACTCCTGTAAAAGTCAGAACAACTGTAAATAATACTGGCATAAAATAAGAACAAATTAAATCAAAATAGGATTAGAAAATTAGAAATAAGAATATCTGTGTCATATAGATTGTTTACTTTTTATACATTGTGACGTGGATGGAGAGTTGTCTCATTGTTTACTTTTTATACATTGTGACGTGGATGGAGAGTTGTCTCATTGGCACTCATGCCACATCTTCTTATTTATACATACTTCAAACAAGAGGCTCTCAAGAGCCTGAATCGCTCACCTGTTATTTTTTTTGCTTAAATCTTTCATCAATGATTATTTTTGCTTTTTACCCATATGTTCCATTTTAGCCATAGTGTATATGTTTCTTGAGGTACAAGGAAATGAAATACAAAATTTATACTAGATTCATTTGAGAAGATTTTTAAAGTTAAAAAACATAAAACAACTTGTGTAAAATTCTCCTTAAAGGGCAATAACTCCTTAAGGGGTCAATTGACAATTATGGTCATATTAAACTTTTTTGTAGATCTTACTTTGCTGAACATTTTTGCTGTTTACAGTTTATCTTTATCTTCAATAGTATTCAAGATAATAACCAAAAACTGCAAAATTTCCTTAAAACAACCAATTTAGTGGCAGCAACCCAACAATGGGTTGTTAGGTGTGTCTGGAAATTTCAGGGCTGATTGATCTTGACCTTTTGAACATTTTACCCCATGTCAGATTTGCTCTAAATGCTTTAATTTCTGAGATATTAGCCAAAAACTGCATTTCACCCCTCTGTTCTATTTTTAGCCATGGCGGCCATGTTTGACGATGGATCAAAATTTGGGATACAATTCATAAACTAGATTCCTAAAGGAACATTCATTCAAAGTTAAGAAGTATTAGGCACAATAGTTTCAGAAGAGAAGAGTTTTAAATGTTAGCAAACTTGATGAACACATTGCGTAAAATTGTCTTTAAAGGGCAATAACTCCTTAAGGGGTCAATTGACAAATTTGGTCATTTAACTTTTCTGTAGATCTTACTTTGCTGAACATTATTGCTGTTTACAGTTTATATCTATCTATAATAATATTCAAGATAATAACAAATAAAAGGCTTCGCTGGGCGCAGCTTGATACGACCGCAGAGGTCGAACCCTGAACAGTTGGGGCAAGTATGGACACAACATTCAAGCTTGATACAGCTCTGAATTTGGATTGTGATTTAATATTTGACACAGCATAGGTTTCTGACACAGAAAGAATGTGGTCTAAGAACTTCAATTTTTTTAATTTACCTATTATGGTCCAATGTCCAAAATCAAAATACATGGTTAGATTCAGCATATCAAAGAACCCCATATATTCAATTTTTGTTGAAATCAAACAAAGTTTAATTTTGGACCCCAACTTGGACAAACTTGAAAACTGGTCCCATAATCAAAAATCTAAACACATGTTTAGATTCAGCATATCAAAGTACCCCAAGAATCCAATTTTTGTTAAAATCAAACTAAGTTTAATTTTGGACCCTTTGGACCGTAATGTAGACCAATTTAAAAAACGGGACCCAAAATTAAAAATCTAAGAACACGGTTAGATTTGGCATATCAAAGAACCCCAATAATTCAATTTTTGATGAAATCAAACAAAGTTTAATTTTGGACCCTTTTGACCTCAATATGAACCAATTTGACAGCGGGCCCACAAATAAAAAATCTAAATACATGGTAAGATTCAGCATATCAAAGAACCCCATATATTCAATTTTTGTTGAAATCAAACAAAGTTTAATTTTGGACCCCAATTTGGACCAACTTGAAAACTGGGCCAAAAATCTAAAATCTAAATACATGTTTAGATTCAGCATATCAAAGAACCCCATATATTCAATTTTTGTTGAAATCAAAACAAAGTTTAATTTTGGACCCCAACTTGGACCAACTTGAAAACTGGGCCCATAATCAAAAATCTAAACACATGTTTAGATTCAGCATATCAAAGAACCCCAAAAATTCAATTTTTGTTAAAATCAAACTAAGTTTAATTTTGGACCCTTTGGACCTTAATGTAGACCAATTTAAAAAACGGGACCCAAAATTAAAAATCTAAATACACGGTTAGATTTGGCATATCAAAGAACCCCAATAATTAAATTTTTGATGAAATCAAACAAAGTTTAATTTTGGACCCTTTTGACCTCAATATGAACCAATTTGATAGCGGGCCCATTAATAAAAAATCTAAATACATGGTAAAATTCAGCATATCAAAGAACCCCATATATTCAATTTTTGTTGAAATCAAACAAAGTTTAATTTTGGACCCCAATTTGGACCAACTTGAAAACTGGGCCTAAAATCTAAAATCTAAATACATGTTTAGATTCAGCATATCAAAGAACCCCATATATTCAATTTTTGTTGAAATCAAACAAAGTTTAATTTTGGACCCCAACTTGGACCAACTTGAAAACTGGGCCCATAATCAAAAATCTAAACACATGTTTAGATTCAGCATATCAAAGTACCCCAAGAATTCAATTTTTGTTAGAATCAAACTAAGTTTAATTTTGGACCCTTTGGACCTTAATGTAGACCAATTTAAAAAACGGGACCCAAAATTAAAAATCTAAGAACACAGTTAGATTTGGCATATCAAAGAACCCCAATAATTCAATTTTTGATGAAATCAAACAAAGTTTAATTTTGGACCCTTTTGACCTCAATATGAACCAATTTGATAGCGGGCCTACAAATAAAAAATCTAAATACATGGTAAGATTCAGCATATCAAAGAACCCCATATATTCAATTTTTTTTGAAATCAAACAAAGTTTAATTTTGGACCCCAATTTGGACCAACTTGAAAACTGGGCCAAAAATCTAAAATCTAAATACATGTTTAGATTCAGCATATCAAAGAACCCCATATATTCAATTTTTGTTGAAATCAAACAAAGTTTAATTTTGGACCCCAACTTGGACCAACTTGAAAACTGGGCCCATAATCAAAAATCTAAAAACATGTTTAGATTCAGCATATCAAAGAACCCCAAAAATTCAATTTTTGTTAAAATCAAACAAAGTTTAATTTTGGACCCTTTGGACCTTAATGTAGACCAATTTAAAAAACGGGACCCAAAATTAAAAATCTAAATACACGGTTAGATTTGGCATATCAAAGAACCCCAATAATTAAATTTTTGATGAAATCAAACAAAGTTTAATTTTGGACCCTTTTGACCTCAATATGAACCAATTTGATAGCGGGGTCCACAAATAAAAAATCTAAATACATGGTTAGATTCAGCATATCAAAGAACCCCATATATTCAATTTTTGTTGAACTCAAACAAAGTTTAATTTTGGACCCCAATTTGGACCAACTTGAAAACTGGGCCAAAAATCAAAAATCTAAATACATGTTTAGATTCAGCATATCATAGAACCCCATATATTCAATTTTTGTTAAAATCAAACAAAGTTTAATTTTGGACCCTTTGGACCGTAATGTAGACCAATTTGAAAACTGGATCCAAAATTAAAAATCTAAATACACGGTTAGATTCGGCATAACAAATAAATAAATGTGGTCAAAGATTTTACAAATCTAATGCGCCATACTGTGCAATTAAAGATTACTTCTTGAAATTTTTCAATATTTGAAATTTGAAAAAAAAATAATATTTGAAGAATAATTCTTTTTAATTTCTGAAATCTGAAATGAGAAAAAATTTACCCCCCACAATTTCTTTTTACCCCCCCCCCCCCCCCCCTTTTTTCCCCCAAACCATAATTACCCATTTAAATTTACCATAGTGCTAACTTAATCTATTTTATAATAGAATTTAAAATATAGTGTCAAATCGTTCATATGGATTTTTTTGTAAAAAAAAAGATGCAACATTTACTGGTCTTCCTTTATAAATATGCATTTCTTTAAACATAATTTAAAAGCAGTGTAAGGGAAGTAACCAAAACGTTGTATTTGGATTACCTCCCTTACACTGTTTTAAATTATCTTAATTGTTCATTAACCATTACTTTATACATAATTTAAAAGCAGTGTAAGGGAGATAATGTCAATGATGTATTTGATTTATCTCCCTTACACTGCTTTAAATTATGTTTTGTATTAAAGTATTTGTCCATTAACCAGGACAACCTTGTTTTTCCCCCTTTTTTGCCCCTAATTCTTAAACGGTTTGAGCCATAACCCCCCAAAGCAAATCCTAACCATCCCTTTGAGGTATGGAAACTTGTAGTATAATTTCAGAGAGATCCATACACCATTCCACAGTTATTGTCTGGAAACTAGAAAATGCTTATTTTTGGCCCCTTTTTGGCCCCTAATACCTTAACTGTTGGTACCATAACCCCCAAAATCAATCCCCACCTTCCTTTTGTTGTATTGAACCTTATGGTAAAATTTCATAGAGATCCATTCACTTAAACTAAAGTTAGAGTGCGAAAACTAATGCGTCTTCGGACGACGACGCCGGACGACGACGACGACGCCAACGTCATACCAATATACGACCACAAAAATTTTTTTGCGGTCGTAAAAAAACTGCAAAATTTCCTTAAAACTACCAATTTAGTGACAGCAACCCAACAATGAGTTGTTTGATTCGTCTGAAAATTTCAGGGCTGATAGATCTAGACCAGTTGAACAATTTTACCCCATGTCAGATTTGCTCTAAAAGCTTTAGTTTTGGAGATATAAGCCAAAAATAGCATTTGACCCCTATGTTCTATTTTTAGCCATGGCGGCCATGTTTGTCGATGGATTAAAACTTTGGATACAATTTATAAACTAAATATCCTAAGGAACATTTAGATGAAGTTTGAAGGTATTTGGCCCAGTAGTTTCAGAGGAGAAGATTTTTAAATGTTCGCAAACTTGATGAACAAATTGTGTAAAATTGTCTTTAAAGGGCAATAACTCCTTAAGGGGTCAATTGACAATTTTGGTCATATAAACTTTTTTGTAGATCTTACTTTGCTGAACATTATTGCTGTTTACAGTTTATATCTATCTATAATAATATTCAAGATAATAACAAAAAACTGCAAAATTTCCTTAAAACTACCAATTTAGTGACAGCAACCCAACAATGAGTTGTTTGATTCGTCTGAAAATTTCAGGGCTGATAGATCTAAACCAGATAAACAAATTTACATCTTGTCAGAATCGCTCTAAAAGCTTTAGTTTTTGAGATATAAGCAAAAAACTGCATTTGACCCCTATGTTCTATTTTTAGCCATGGCGGCCATGTTTGAAGATGGATCAAAACTTTGGATACAATTTATAAACTAGATACCCTAAGGAACATTAAGTCAAAGTTTGAAGGTATTTGGCCCAGTAGTTTCAGAGGAGAAGATTTTTAAATGTTAGCAAACTTGATGAACAAATTGTGTAAAATTGTCTTTAAAGGGCAATAACTCCTTAAGGGGTCAATTGACAATTTTGGTCATATAAACTTTTTTGTAGATCTTACTTTGCTGAACATTATTGCTGTTTACAGTTTATATCTATCTATAATAATATTCAAGATAATAACAAAAAACTGCAAAATTTCCTTAAAACTACCAATTTAGTGACAGCAACCCAACAATGAGTTGTTTGATTCGTCTGAAAATTTCAGGGCTGATAGATCTAGACCAGTTGAACAATTTTACATCTTGTCAGAATCGCTCTAAAAGCTTTAGTTTTTGAGATATAAGCAAAAAACTGCATTTGACCCCTATGTTCTATTTTTAGCCATGGCGGACATGTTTGACGATGGATCAAAACTTCTGATACAATTTATAAACTAGATACCCTAAGGAACATTAAGTTAAAGTTTGAAGGTATTTGGCCCAGTAGTTTCAGAGGAGAAGATTTTTGAAATAGTTTACGACGACGACGACGACGACGGACGATGACGACAGACGACGACGACAGACGACAGACGCCAAGTGATGGCATAAGCTCACATGGGGCCCTTCGGGCCCCGGTGAGCTAAAAAGGTAAAAGAAGTCAGATAATAGTACATGCATTCTTTAAAACATATACTCTTTGTTATTTTCCTCTTTATACATTTCAGAGTGAATTTTCCTTTATTACATATAAAGCTACTAATTACTTGAACCATACATTTCAGAGTGAAGTTTCCTTTGTTACATATAAAGCTACTAATAACTTGAACCATACATTTCAGAGTGAAGTTTCCTTTGTTACATATAAAGATACTAATAACTTGAACCATACACTTTTAAACAAGGTAGACCAAATAATAATTTCAACAATTCCTAATCAACAAATAAATAAAAGAAGAATGTGTCTAAGGACACAAATGCCCCACTCATGCATTGCAATTTTCCAAGTTAAAAAGGGCATTACTCTATAACCATAAATTACTCACTGCCCAAATTCAAACTCTGTCTGTGTGATGTGGTTCTTAGCATTGTGTATGCATTTCATAAAATTTGCATTAGGCAAACTTAAGTTAGTGTGCAGAAACGAAACAATTTGCAATTTTCCAAGTTATAAAGGGCATAACTCTAGAATGGTAAGTGACTCACTGCCCAAATTCGAACTCTGTCTGCTAGTTTTGGTTCTTAGCATTGTGTATGAATTTCATAAGATTTGGATGGACAGAAGGATGGAAAGACAGAAAGACGTAAGGACAGACAGTCAAGGGTAACACTTAATGCCCCTTTTGTCTAGAGGCAGGGGCATAAAAAGTGTGATAGACATGCAGTATTCAATACCCTATTTTTTAAAAACATATATTGAATGATGCCCAAATTGTAGTGGAACTTATATAGTGTCTTCAATGAGTTTAATGACAAGAGTGTGCACACTGAAATGTCTCGTAATCTTTATCAATCTTGAATGATTTTATGTCTAAAGTCTTAAATATAAAGGTTTTACTACAAAAATCACATAAACTGACCATTATCAATGATCCATAACAATGAGGTCAGTTGACCTATTGCTTATAGTATCCAAGAAATAGACCAAACCATGAAAACTTAACATCAACCAATGAACCATGAAAATGAAGTCAAGGTCAGATGACATGTGCCAGTCAGTTATATACAATTTTAATACAATCATTCCATACACCAAATATATTTGACATATTGCCTATATTATGTGATAAGATGACCAAACTATGAGCTTAAGAACAGATAGTACCTGTCAGACAAACATGTACTCCTTACAATTCCATACATTAAATATAGTTGACCTATAGCTTATAGGTAGTACAAAAATGTACCTGAAAAACAGACAAAACCACAAAAACTTAACAATGAAAGTAAATAAGTTCATTGTCAGATGCAACCTGCCAGTCTGACATGTACACCTTACAATCATTTCATACACCACATATAGCTGACCTTTTGTTTTTAGAATCTGAGAAACGGACCTTATCATATAACTTTAACCTTGATCACTGATCAATGAAACGAGGTAAGGGTAGGGTGAACCCTGCCTGACAGACATGAAGACCTAGCAAGGAACCCATATACCAAATACAGTTATCTTATTACTCATTATAAGTGTCATTGAACCATGAAAAAGAGACAAACAACATATGACAGATGGAAACTTCATTACATAAGGCATCTGCTGCTTTTTTCACAAAAAATCTTATGACTAAAATTCATTGTAGTTATACTGAAACATTCATGACTTACGAGTATTTTTTCTCAAAAGATTTTTTGTGAAATGATTCACTGTATACAAGGTATGAAGCATCCAGGTCTTCTACCTTCTGAAATATATACCTTTCTACAAATAGCCTCTGCTGGATTGTAATCCCTACTCATTGCAGGTGAGACAGAAACTAAATGTATGTTTTGAATACACTGATATGACAGAAAACTTATTGAATGTAGAGCTACAAACCATCAAATATTGGCAGTATTTCCATCCTTTCTCCAATATCAACAATGATTCCTGATGTGGCATTATAAGAATATAAGGCAAGTAAGGACTGCATCACCATACAGACACCTTTAGTGTTGAATCTGTCTGTCAGGATCTTCATTAAACTACTCATGGCTGCATCGCCAAGCTTGTATGGAGTACTTAACATTATCTGTAACATAGTAAATCTTATGATCTAACAGTAATAAAAACAAACATAAAAACCACCAAAAGGTCTTAAAAAGTCAATAATTTGAACATAGAAAGTATACAAAATGTTAAAATTGTTTCTTAATAGTGAAAAGAAAAATGTTTTCTTTTGTATAGCTGATCAGGTTGGAATGTTTGCAGGTCATCGGATATAATTTTGAAACTAAAAACCCAAGGAATTATTGAGGCAAATAAAAATTTGGTTTACTTGTTTAGAATAGATCATTTAATGTATTTTGCATTTGTATTTTTATTTAAATATGTGTATACAAAGGAAATGCTAGTCAATGCTGACATAACCCTTTTCCCTTTATTTGGATGGGTTACATACCATTCTATTATTGTATGCCCTCCTTTTCATTATATGTTCAATGAATATTTCAAATAAGACATTAAAATTATAATAAAATGCTCCGCTGGGGCGCAGCTTGATACGACCGCAGATGTCGAACCCTGAACAGTTGGGGCAAGTATGGACACAACATTCAAGCTTGATACAGCACTGAATTTGGATTGTAATTAAATATTTGACACAGCATAGGTTTCTGACACAGAATGAAAGTGGTCTAAGAACTTAAAAATTTTTAATTTACCTATTCAAACCATATCCATACATGTGATGGACTGTGAAACTCAGATCAGGGGATTGGGAAATTTTGGTCAGGAGATTAGGACTCAGATCAGGAGGTTTTTAGTCGACATAAATTTTGACGTAAATGTAACCGTGTGCTGTAAAAATTGTCTTTTAAAGTGTGTATTCTTCAACTTTCCATCCGAATGTATTATGTTTATAGTACCCTTGTACTTATAAAGTTTCTCTATCTTTTTTAAATTTTTTAATTCATATCTTTTATATCATTATTCTATAGAACAATCATTGCATTCAGAACATTTGTTTAACTATCAGCAATTGCAATTAGTTTATATTTGCATATTAAGAAACATATATATAAGATCTAGAATCAAGGGTCATAGTTATTATATAAATTTCAATTTAAGTCTTGAAAGGAAGTATAGAACCCTCAAATAATTTTCAAATTATTATTTTTTTATTTGTCCTTAGACGTTTAAAATAATTTAATTACCATCCTTTTATGATTATTTGTTCAATTTATATTTTATTTATATTCTTTTAAAAATTTACATTATTGAAAGGAAAGAAACTTAAAACAGGATGAATCAAGGGAAGTAACCCAATAAATACACAAAGTTTTTATTACACAACGGCAGTTAGCCTGAGGTAAAAAATGTTGATTACCAGTAAGTTTGACACCCAAGCTGACAAATGAAGCCATATAATTATGCATGCTAATTGATTTACATGTAAAATATAACTTCAGGTAATGTCAGTTACACCAGATGTCTGAGATGATATGTTGGGGAAAAAATTTCATACACTGGATTTTTTTCTCTTCAACGGGAGGTCGGGAGGAGACCCCTGAAAACGGGATTATTGTACTCTCGTTGGGAGGTTCACATGTATGCATATCATTATTATTTGCTTTTATATATAAATCAGAAATAACCAATTTAAAATGGAAAATTTTAAAGAAAAAAAAAGGGAAAAAAAATCCTCCCCACCAATTTTTGGAACCCCCTTATGATTCATCACCCCCAAACTCAATCATAGCCTTCCCTTTGTGGTATGGTACCTTACAGTACAATTTCAGAGAGATCCATACACTTGAACACAAGTTATTGTCTGGAAACTAGAAAAATGCTTATTTTTGGCCCCTTTTTGGCCCCTTATTCCTAAACTTTGGAGGCAATTACCCCCAAACTCAATTCCAGCTTTCCCTTTGTGATATGGAACCTTGTAGTACAATTTCATAAAGATCCATACACTTACACACAAGTTATTGTCTGGAAACTAGAAAAATGCTTGTTTTTTGCCCCTTTTTGGCCCCTAATTCCTAAAATTTGGAGGCAATTACCCCCACAATCAATCCCAACATTCCCTTTGTGATATGGAACCTTGTGGTACAATGTCAGAGAGATCCATAGACTTACACACAAGTTATTGTCATGAAACTAGAAAAATGCTTGTTTTTTGCCCCTTTTTGGCCCCTAATTCCTAAAATTTGGAGGCAATTACCCCCAAAATCAATCCCAGCATTCCCTTTGTGATATGGAACCTTGTGGTACAATGTCAGAGAGATCCATACACTTACACACAAGTTATGTCTGGAAGTTACAAAAATGCTTATTTTTGGCCCCTTTTTGGCCCCTAATTCCTTAAATGTTGGTACCATAACCCCCAAAATCAATCCCCACCTTCCTTTTGTGATATTGAACCTTATGGTAAAATTTCATTGAGATCCATTCACTCAAACTAAAGTTAGAGTGCGAAAACTAATGTGTATTCGGACGACGACGCCGGACGACGACGACGACGACGCCGGACGACGACGACGACGACGACGCCAACGTCATACCAATATACGACCACAAAAATTTTTTTGCGGTCGTATAAAAATAAGAGTAGTGAACTTCAAAACCCTGACAAACAATTTATTTTACATCAATGCAGTCACATAGGCAAAAAAATATTAAGGCCCAATCCCTGTATTGTCCTATTTCAATTAATTTAAAGCTATGAACTTATTCATACCTCAAAGAACTTAATTGTTGCAAAATAATTTATTCGTAGTGAACAAACTGCATTTGATTGGTTTGTGAAGTTAAACAAGCTGTTTAAGATATTAAACAGGACAGAATAGCTTTATGGTATGATACATGCCATTTTTTACTTTCTGTTGAATCATGAATTTTCATGGGGTTAAAATTTCCTAGTTTTGTCTGTGCAACTTATTTCATTGGGATTAATATTAAATTTTATAGTTTCTAGTTTGAGATAGTAATGTTTGTTATACTTTAATTTTTCTTTGAGGTTTCAATTTTGTCAATAATATCTATCCATAAAATAAAGCAAATTAAAACCCCAAGAAAATGCTTGTTTCTACAGTATATGTGCTAATGCTTTACTTGTGAATTCTGGATAATATTCATGTGTACCTTGCAACTGGTCAACAGATACCTCCTACAAGTATGATTAAAGTTATTTTTAGCTCATCAATATAAGTATTATATATAATACAACCCCTTACTTGTATTCCTAGGCAATATTACAATTAAATATTTCTAACTGATATATTGCCCATCATCTGAGGCAACAATGTCAAGCGATATAAATTTCTAATAAATATGTTGTGCCTCAAGTACAATTCTGGATCACTTATTTATTTTACTTGATACATACCCAATATTTAGCTGAATCAGCTTTTAGGCCTTTGAATATATAATCAAATACAGCTGACATCATTTCCATATCAATTGCAAACTAACAAAAAAGAAACATAAATTTAAATCAGCTTTACCAAAACATTTAACATCTATAAATTACAGAAAAACTCTTCTAACACACAAAATTTATAAAATGGTAATTTCAAAGTTAGCCTATCAATTGATTTTAACAAAATTATTTTTACACATTTTTCACTTATATTATTTCCAACAATGTTACAACACAAAGGACAACGTACGATAAGGCCCGTTTTTGGCCCCCCTATTTTCTCATTTTTCTCATTTTGTTTTGGAAAGCTACTTATCACGTTAAAATATTCCCTTTAGGTTTGAAGTTTTTTGGATGAACTTCAAAACCATTAATTTCAGAAAATGGGTGAGGTGAGGGGGGTAAAAGGGCATCATAAATGCCAAAAGAAGGAAAAAGTACGATTTTTGGCCATTGTTTCTTAAGATTTAATAGCGTGCGCCTACGTGACCTAGAGAAAATTATGGCGATTTAAACAGCAAAAACTGTTCTCATGACATTGGAATAAAAAAATTCCTGGGTCACGTTGGCTCAGTCACTAAAAAACTAAAAAATAGTTGTACGGAACACCTGCAAAGTGAATAATAATTATAATATTTGAAAAATAACAGAAAGTTTACCCCCCTCACCTCACTCAGTTGCTAAAATTAGTGGTTTTGAAGTTCATCCAAACAAACTTCAAACCTCAGGGAATATTTTAATATAATAAGTAGCTTTCCAAAACAGAATTTGAAAAATGAGAAAATAGGGGGGCCAAAAGCAGGCCTTATCGTACCTTGTCCTTTTGCAACAATGTATTTGATTTCTATTTTGCACAGCTTTTAGATATAAAAAGTATTTCAAATAAAGAGTAAACTTATATTTTGTTCTCATTTGTTACCGTGACATGGTTATAAGTGTTTCTCTCCACCTATTGCAGTTCATTCAAAATTCTGAACCAATTGTAATTTGTTTTATGAAATCAACTGATCATAAATTTTACAGCAGTTTTTCTAAATGATCTACATTAGGTGGAAAGCAACACTTACAATCAAGTCACAGCAGAATTCACATATATTAGTTCAACAAAAAAGTAAAAATTTGAACCAAAGTAAAATAGATCATGACATCTATTCTGAAGCCTGGAATCTTAGAAATAACAAGATGTCACAATTTTGTTGGCTCAAACTTCTCACCTGACAATATACAAAGCTATGTTTTACAATTTACAAACATTGGGTCCAATGTGCAGTGTAATTGAAGAAGGTTGGATAGATTGGTTGAAGTTTAAAGTCCAACTAGTAATATTTCAACTATATTCAGGATGAGAACATGCTAATCTGATATGAACCAATAGACCAACACTCTAGACCAGATTTTTATCATGCTAGCTTACAGGATTGCCATCTATAGATAGACATTGTAACCACATCCAGGCAGAGTATTTTAACTCAAGAATTAAAGATTTAATCATCAGACATATATTAGAATGATGAATAAACCCTATGAGATATTTGTTTTTATAAATTCATTGATTTATACTGTACACATTAATTTATTCAAGTTGATTGTTTGACAGACATAATCATCTATCCTTATTCTATTCGAAACCACAATGAGGTCAGTTCAGCCTTTGATGAGGAGTGATTTTAAGAGACAAATTAAGACTCAGTAAATGTAAAAAGAAGGGAATAATAGGCAATAATTTGATAAAATTATCATAACATAGAGATAAAATACATAATAATATCAACATATAATATTATAACTGTTGACAGAATGAAATTGAGCATATAAGATTGTCAAGTTAAGGTTAATAAAAATCAGGACACCTAAACATATTAAACAGGGCAGAGCAAGACACAAAAAATGCCATTAAAATTTTCCATTTTCATGAAAATTAGGGTTAATAATAAAACATAACAAGAATGTAATAAGTTAAAGAAATATCAGGTTAAATCCAGCATTCTCAGACAATTGTGAGAAACTAGAGTCTCACATGAGCCAGTATTTATTGCTTGGTGTTATGTCTGATCTGATGTATCATTTAACAAGTTATAGACTCATGGAGATATAGCTGTTAGCAGTAACGAATCAACCAATTAAATTAAATAAAAATAAAAAGATGTGGTATGATTGCCATTGAGATAACTTTCCACCAGAGACCAAATGATGTAGAAGTTAAAATACATTTCAGAAATGCTACATGTACTGTTTGAATTTATATACACATGCCAAGAAATGATAGTTAGCACAACCATTGCCAAAAAATACTTTAACATATAAAGTGTATTATATGATTATTCAAAAATAAATCAATTTGGGAAACAAATTAAGTTTTGTAATTCCAAGATGTTCTTTTTGGTGATAGCAATAGCTCAAAATAGCACTTTAAGGGATCATGACAATATATAATTGTCTAAAACAAGGATGGATGACACACTGAAACCAGAATATAACAATGAAATTAAAAATGAAATAAATGTTGCATCTTGTGTACACAGCATAGACTCAATTCAGGCTTCCAATTTATCCAGATCTTTCTGATGAAGACATTTTCTAATTTTTCTACAAAAGTTTGTAAGTCACCAACAGACTACAGAAAGTCCTAGTTATAGTTCACAATTAAAGCTCAGTACACACTGAAGTGTCTTGCCTGCTAATTGACTGTATTTGATAATATGTCACTGAGCTGGTGATGCCACTTTATTTCAGTAATATGACAATGGACTGGTGATGCCACTTTATTTCAGTAATATGTTAATAAACTGGCGATGCCACCCACACATGGTTTTGGATATGGGTGGTTGAAGAGCAAACAGTAAGATTTTACTGGTTCATTTTCTGTTTGTAATAGAAACATATAATGGCCTTGCTGAGTTCACCTTATACCTTATATATGTGACATTTTTGAATTTGCATATATTTTTCATAACAAAGACAAAATTTTAAAATATCAATAACCCAACAGGTGATAATAAGAAAACTATTTAGTATATGTATAAACCCTTTGCATATCAAAAAGGTTCTAGGTTAAATCCCACAAGAGTTAACCCTATACCTATACCCTATAAACTAGTTCCAAAAAAATCAATTAAGTTCAATAATCAAAATATACACATCTTTGGTACATGTCCAAATCCACAACAAATGATAATAAAGTCCTAGCTTTAAACTGTCAGTTGGACTAAGTATTCAACTTATATGAACACAAATGAACAAATGTACAGCTGAGTTTTAACAATATGTTCCCTGGTCAACAATAGTTTATAAAGGTACTGTAAATATTGGTATATTACAGCAAAGTTCATCCTTTGGCTTATTTTTGGCCTTAGACAAAAGTACCATAATGAAATATTCAACAGAATAACAACAAATTTCTGAACACATGTGCCATTGATGGCTAAGGTGGTTTATTGCAACTGTTCATTTATGAGCCACCAGAAAAATAATTCCTATATCTTGCTGCAGTAAAGGCAAAATGAATTACAAATAGCTCTTGAATAAAAAATACTGCTTTTTGGAAATAGATATGTGCTTAGGAAAGGAGGTATTTGTCAAGATGCATGATGGGAGAGACCTTCACCACATTTCAGCATCATTTAAAAAGCAATAGAACTTACTGGTCTAACATGATCCTAAAATAAAACAGCTTAACAGTAAGTTAATATTCATATATTTATATTCGGTATGCTTATTCTTCATCAAATTAAATGTATCAATTAAGCTTTATTCACAAAATATACTTCAAAATTTAGACATAGTTGACTGTTGTTGGAAACATAATTTAAGCACCTTTCTAAAGACAACACACATACTTTTGTGTAAGTGCTTATAACCTGGTCTTCTTATTTGAATTCATTCACAACTTGAATAGATTTGGGAAAATTTAGAGCTTGCTGTAGATTTATCAACAGTTGAAAAACATCATCAATATATTACCTATAGATGTTTATTTTGTTACATTTTGTACTACCTTGCTGAATCATTGACCCCACATACAATTGAGTTGAAAATATAATATGGCTATGATACAGAATTCTTCTTCAATGTGAGTTACTAATATATATATTCATATAAAGTTATTCTACTTTTACTATGAATCTTTGCATACCTTATCCACTTTATTGCTAGGTTCCACCAACTTTATGAGAGTAGAATTTTTCCTAATTTCTGGTTTGTAAGTATCAATACCAATCACTAGTTCTTGTGTCGTCTTATGTCGAGCTACAACACTTGGGAAAAACATCTGTGGCAAGCAAGCTGCAATTAAATAGATGTACATTTTTTTTTATTAAAATAGAAATTTTATTTTTCATTCAGTGTTACTTGTAAATTTAATTATGTTCACATATCATCATTCTGAAAGGTAATATCCAGCAACAAGATTATCATAATAAACCTTATTTCAATTCAGTTTTAATTGCAATATTCACATCTCACTACATGCAATTTGAGAAGTGAAACTGAAGTTTCCCTGCTAATAAATTTCAAGTTAGTTTTGATTTATAGTGTCACAATTTCTGTATCGCTTACCATAAATTATAAATGACACCAATTGTGCATGTCCCCAGTATGGACAATATAAGAGAGAGAGTATTGCAGACTTTTGCCAAATATAGCTATTAGACTCTTACAGTCACTAAAATATATCTTCTTGTTTTCTAACTTTTGCACAGGGACAGAATACATCAGTACAATGCTGCATATAATTTTTGATTGCTCAAATGCAGCTGAATTTATTTTGTTTAATTGCATTAACTTGGTAATTAAAACAAACTATTTATGAAAGCAGAAGATTTATTTGAAGCCTAGTCGAACATTCTGTCTTGCTGGAGTTAAAGCAAACTAAATGTTCAATATCCATTAGCAGAATTATGTAAACCCTACCCGATTCCTAATGTGCCTGTCTCAAGCCATAAGTCAATAATCAAGTTATTGGTTGCTGTTTGCCATTATTGTTTTAATTATTGTTGTTGAATAAATCAGGCCATTTTGGTTTTTTTCAATTGTTTTACATTTTGTCATCCAGGGACCTCATATAGCTTACTATAAAGTATGTGCTTGGCTCATTGTTGAAGGCTGTATGGTGACCTGTATTTGTTTACATATTGTCCTTTGGTCTTCAATGGATAATTTTCTCATTGGCAATAATACCATATTTGTAAAAATAGTATCACAACTTAGAAAATGCACTCATAACAACTGCAGTATGTAATTTATATGACACATACTTTTCGAGATTATGACCATGAAATGAACCTGTCATCTAATTCAGCATTGAATTTGATATGTGACTTGTTTTTCGCGCTTTTTGTGTATAGTTATGATTTGAATAAATGTTGCCCATTGTAAGCTTTTATATGAGATACTTACGCTGAGCACCCATTACACCAGCACGTATCCCTCCACTTCCTATGTCTATATTAGATACTTACGCTGAGCACCCATTACACCAGCACGTATCCCTCCACTTCCTATGTTTATATGAGATACTTACGCTGAGCACCCATTATACCGGCACGTATCCCCCCACTTCCTATGTCTATAATTATTACTTTCTGAAAAATAATATTTCAACAATTAATTCATGTGTAATTCCTGGGGTAAATCTACTTTAATGTAATAAAATGACATATTTAAAGAATCTATATATCTGTCCAAAGCATCTCATTTAAAGCCATTAAGTCATAAAATACAAGGTTTTCATAAAATTACCTGTCTTTATACTTAAAAATAGTCATTTAACCTCCATTATATTTCAAATCAATTTTTAAGTTTCCATTGCTACATTTTAAAGCAATATAAAATGCTTCAATGAGCGCAGCCTGATACAACCACAGAGGTCGAACCCTGAACAGTTGGGGCAAGTTTGGACACAATATTCAAGCTTGATACTGTCTGAATTTGGATTGTGATCAAACTTTTTGACATAATACAGGTTTCTGACACAAAATAAATGTGGTCAAAGATCTTAAAAATTTGAAATGGGACATTTAATTTACCTAGAATGGTCTGATATCTAAAATTTAACAACATGGTAAACAAGAGGCTCTCAAGAGCCTGAATCGCTCACCTGTATTTCAGAGAAGATTTTCAAATGTTAGCAAACTTGATGAACAAATTGTGTAAAATTGTCTTTAAAGGGCAATAACTCCTTAAGGGGTCAATTGACAATTATGGTCATTTTAACTTTTTTGTAGATCTTACTTTGCTGAACATTATTGCTGCTTACAGTTTATATATATCTATAATAATATTCAAAATAATAACAAAAAACTGCAAAATTTTGTTAAAACTACCAATTCGGTGGCAGCAACCCAACAATGGGTTGTTAGATTCGTCCGAAAATTTCAGAGCTGATAGATCTTGACCAATTGAACAATTTTACCCCATGTCAGATTTGCTCTAAAGCTTTAGTTTTTGAGATATAAGCCAAAAACTGCATTTGACCCTTATGTTCTAATTTTAGCCATGGTGGCCATGTTTGTCAATGGATACAAACTTCGGATAAAATTTATAAACAAGATACCCTAAGGAACATTTAGTTAAAGTTTGAAGGTAATTGGCCCAGTAATTTCAGAGGAGAAGATTTTTAAATGTTAGCATACTTGATGAACAAATTGTGTAAAATTGTCTTTAAAGGGCAATAACTCCTTAAGGGGTCAATAGACAATTATGGTCATATTAACTTTTTTGTAGATATTACTTTGCTGAACATTATTGCTGCTTACAGTTTATATATATCTATAATAATATTCAAAATAATAACAAAAAACTGCAAAATTTTGTTAAAACTACCAATTCGGTGGCAGCAACCCAACAATGGGTTGTTCGATTCGTCTGAAAATTTCAGAGCTGAAAGATCTTGACCAATTGAACAATTTTACCCCATGTCAGATTTGCTCTAAAAGCTTTAGTTTTTGAGATATAAGCCAAAAACTGCATTTGACCCCTATTTTCTATTTTTAGCCATGGCAGCCATGTTTGTGGAAGGATCAAAACTTCGGATACAATTTATAAACTAGATACCCTAAGGAACATTTATTTAAAGTTTGAAGGTATTTGGCCCAGTAGTTTCAGAGGAGAAGATTTTTGAAATAGTTTACAACGACAGACGACAGACGACGACGACGAGGGACGATAACGGACACCAAGTGATGGCATAAGCTAGTGATGGTGAGCTGAAAACCCAAAAATTAAATTTTAGTTGAAATCAAACAAAGTAAGTTTGTAAGGGAGGTAACTCTAATGAAAAAAAAACCCAAACAAAAGAATAACCAATTCTGATTATAAAATTTTATTACCACTGAACCCTTTGATATACACTATAATAATATTATATGTATTTAAATCACAGTATTTGATGTTTCTAGAAACAGCTGAAACAGCTAAAAAATATTTCATACTAGAACTAGCAAACAAATAGCAATAAATTGCTTCGCCAAGCGCAGCTGGATACGACGACTGCAGAGGTCCAAACCCTGAACAATTGGGGCAAAAATGGACACAATATTCGTGCTTGATACAGGTTTGAATTTGGATTGAAATTAAATGTTTGACACATAATAGGTTTCTGACACAGAATAACTGTAGTCAAAGAACTTAGAATTGGTTATATGACTTGAATTTATATTCAATTTTTTGCTTTTGAACAATCACTATGCTGTTTTATTAGTAACTTCTAAAAATAAATTGACAGCTAATCACCTCAAGACAATACAAAATTTCTTTATACATAATTTTAAAGCAGTGTAAGGGAGGTAATCCAAATTTAACATTGTACTTAAAAGTGATTGTCCATTAACAAGGAAACCCTTGTTTTTCCCCCTTTTTTGCCCCTAATTCCTAAACTGTTTGAGCCATTACCCCCCAAAGCCAATCCTTACCATCCCTTTGTGGTATGGAAACTTGTTGTACAATTTCAGAGAGATCCATACACTGTTCCACAAGTTATTGTCTGAAAACTAGAAAAACGCTTATTTGGGCCCCTTTTTTGGCCCCTAATTCCTGAACTGTTAGGACCATAACCCCCAAAATCAATCCCAACCTTCCTTTTGTGGTTATGAACCTTGTGTTTAAATTTCATAGATTTCTATTTACTAGTACTAAAGTTATTGTTCGGAAACCAAGTGTTCAGGACGACGACGATGATGACGACGTGATACCAATATACCACTACAAAAATTTTTTGCGATCGTATAAAAAGTACTGCTTGACATCTAGTGTTTGATACATTTTAAAGAGATCAAAGTACTGCCTGACATATAGTGTTTGATAATTTTTAAAGAGATCAAAGCACTGCTTGACATGCAGATAATTTTTTAAGTGATCAGATGACTACACGATACGTGCTCTGTGTTGATTTTTTATCAATGTCACAATCGGGTAAACTTCGGCTACTAACTCAAAATTAATTACCTTGCGATCAACAATCACTGAATGAAATATTATTTGTCGATAATACATTATAGATTCGTAATAAATATAATAAAAAAAACGTGTATACAGGACTTAGTTTAGTATATATGCATGCATTAGTTCAATAATTTAGATAACATTAAAATTACAAGACACTCGTTTCACATGACTTTAATAGTAGAATTCTAAAACAATGTCTTTCATCTCAATATTCATTTTAACATGGGTGGTCAGTATCTGTACAATGAACAATAGCCAAATATAATGCCTAACCATGTTAAATGATCATTGAGCATGACATGAGAGAATTATTCCAATTGTAAAAGGAAAATTCAAAACTTCTGTACTTCAAAGTGGACCTTTAAGACAAGTTTGAAAAACAGCCATTTTGATTTGATTAAGAAAAAACAATCTAGAAAAAAACCATTTTACTAATAAAAGAGTACAAAGACATGCAGTCTTACTTTAAAAATGATTGAATTTGATTTCCTAGCAAGGACACCAACAGAAATATCCAATTAGATCTCAATATACAACTGGCATTGCAATTTTAATTGTGATGTCATGCACCTGCATTCCATATTTTATTGAATGGATGGATGGATGGATGGCTGTTTTATTGTCCAGTGGCAAAATAAATGCATATTCAGGACGACGACATGATAATTTGATATGGATATAAACCCTGCTTTGCACTAGACCAACACGATGAGCCGAATGTTTAACATTCTAGTTCACAAGGTAACAGCCCACAAAAAGACATGTCACCTTACCCAGACATATTATGATGACTCGAGCCTACCAGTCTTTGCTCCTTCTCTTAAATATTGCATGCTTAGTGGAGAAGCAGCAAATATCAGTTTTCAAGTCTTTGATTTGACCCAGCTGGTGTTGGAACCCACAACCTCCCACCACATTTTATTGGAATTAGAACATGGCTTTCTTTACAAAAAGAAAGAAGAGGGTCATATTAGAATTAAAGTGTTTAATTCAAAAGAAGGTAAAAAATAGCATCATTTTGAAATAGGATATGAAAGTTTGTAATGAATTCAAAAATCCTAAAAATGAATGAACCACAGTATATCAAGAGTTACTTCACCTTCTCTGGATGTGGTGGAGAAGACATAACTGGTCTAACATAAGTGACATTATTAACAGTCTGAGATTCAAGTGCTAACTTCCACTGTCCATATTCTTTTTCTGTAGGACATCGTACCATCAGGAAACGCCCTCTCTACAAAATATGTTCATACTTATTACTTTTTATAAAAAAGAAAGGTTTTAGTATCAAATATATAATCATTAGCTTTTAAAAATGCATGAATATCCTTTTGCAGTAACGGTTCCCAATATATCTTAGTGTTCTAGTAAATTCCAGGTAAATTCTTATTGGTGTAGTAAGACTTCAAGATTATTTCCAGGTTTATACTAGGATAATCATGTTATGACTAAGGCATTTTTTACTTCCTTAAAAATGCATTATTTTACATCAATAATTACCACTTTTGTATGAGTTCTTCAACATGCAGTGTGGCAATCTCCCTACAAGAGACATCAGATTTAATGTCTCCATTACAACTGGTTGCATATATATAAACATCCCACTACATTAAATAGCTCTCTCAGTATTGTATTTACTGCTTTACCATATTTCTATATTCCAGTCTAACATTTGAATGGATTTGATTAGTCCAGAGGCAAATAGTACATAGATCTTAGGATGGGAAAGCTGGTGGGACATGAATATGAACCTTGTTTTGTTCGAGACATACACGCTGAGCCAGATTTTTAACATCTCAGTTCACATAGTAAAGTCTGGAGGAAGATATGTCATCCTTCACTGACTTTGAGCTGACTCTTCTTTGCTTTTTCATCTCAATGCCATGTGATTATGGGAAAATACTGATTTTCAAGTCTTTGGTTTGACTTGACCTGGTCAACCATTGGGGTTGATTCCAACAATATATTTAAACTTACTGTCACAGTTTTCATGATCTCCATACTTTGTACCCTAATAACTTACCCCATCATCTACACCTAAAACTCTGTTTCCAAGATCTTCTATCTTCCCTCCCATCAGCTGTACACTATCACTGGGTTTGTCTCTATTGCTTGTCTAAAAACAAATTAAAACATCTATTATACATAAATAAAAAATTGTAAAAAAAAAAATAATGAAAACATTGCAAACCAACATATACATGTACTTCCTTTTCAATCCTTTCCTGACAAAACAATAACTGATTCTAATAAATGATTCTAATAAATGTCTAGAGCAAAATGCACCTCAATTTAAATCTGCAAAAGAAACATTTTTACATTTGTTCCTAATATGAACTACTGAAAATACAAATTTGATTCCTCAGGTCATCATCAAGTTTTAACCAAAAACTAATTTGCACCTTAAAAAATTTAAACTTTTGTTGCCTGTTCAATCATCATAATTCCTATCGTTTTTTTAATTTATTTATCTAATTATAAGCAAATTATTACTTAAGGAAGCTGTTTAGGATGTTATTAGTATTTCTTTTTTTTAATCAAAACAACAAATCACCATAAAATTACTACAAGAAACAAAAACTGGCTAAAAAAAAAAAAAAAAATCTAAAATACAATACCTACAACATACATGAATCAAAATAATATAAAATGAACATAACAACAAAAACATAATGAAAGCACAGCCAATGGACAACAACAAATTTACAAGGTAACTAGCTAGTGAAAAATACACTCCTGTACAATCAATCTCAACAGAAAGACTTCATCCAAAAACTTTTAAATATTTCTAAACTTTATGACTCAGACTGCGGCTTCAAAATAACGTAGAAATAAGGCAATGATTGGTTTACATAGTCAAATTATAAGCTATTTATATATTTTTACTTCCATATAATTTTAATTGACTTATATGTATGTTGTTGAAAGAGGAAATATAAAATGTTATTAGCGATTGTTTTTGTCCTACCAAAAATATTGCCTTAAATGAACATCCCAACATGATAGGTAAAAACTGCAAGAGCTTCTGGTAATAATTAAATGTTATAGCTAGAACCATGCTTTTCAAAATTGGTGAATTAAAAATCCTTTAAATGAAAACAATTTACAAGAAAACAACAATAGACCCAATAAATGGAGAATGTGTCCATGGGACACAGATGATGCCTACGCTTGCGTATAACGTTTTTAAGGGGCATAACTCAAGAACGGTAAAATTGACGGCACTCAATTTCAAACTTGAACTCTGTTTTGTGGTAATAAGCATTGTGTATAGGTTTCATAACATTTGGTTGAGGCAAACTCAAGTTAGAGAACGGAAACTAAATTTTGGATGTAGGTACGGATGGGCAAGGGTAACACTTGATGCCCCCTCCGCCACAGCCGGGACATTAAAAATGCAGCAAACTGATTTCCATTTTACATCTGGTAATTTCTTTGTATATTGTAGAGGAATGTTTTCTAACATACATTAATTCAATTTCTTTCCTCTCCAATCATTTATACTATTAATGCTTAAGAAAATCCAAAAGTAAATTGTGAAAACAGTCACTTTTAAAAACATAATTGAAGATACCAGTCTTTTAAGTTAATTTAAATTAGAATTGTTCCCCTTTGACAGTTCCATACAAATATCTTTGATCTTATTTTTTACAATTTTACATGTTGTCTAGAATAAAATTTCATTTGAAGATACCCACTATTTTTTTAAAGGAAACTCTTAACATGTGCAGTTTCATCTTTAGGCTTCAATGATCTACTTGACCTTATATTTTCCAGGTAAAATTAAACATGGAATTATGACATACCTTAAACTAAAAATTTTTATTTACTATTGTTTCATTTCATCTATAGGTATCAAAGTGCTTTGCAAGATCATGCAGCAGAAATAAGAACAAGCTTACAACATGACACTGATACAACATAGAACAGCCTTATCCATATAAACATCTACTTTGATGGGAAGTTATCATTTCATAGGAAATGGCTGCCCTTTTAAAGTAAGTGCATAAATGCTTATGCAACTTACTACCAAATATCACTGAATTACATAAGTATTTCTGACAATTCTAACCACATCAAAAAGATTTCAAAGATATTTGAAATCATTACTGTGTTTTGAAGAGAAAAGTTTGCTGTTTATCTGAGGAACTTCATGGATCTGGATAGTAATTGGTGTGTTTAAAAATTAAAGATATGAATTTCTGGTGCTGTATGCTAAAAGGAAAATTTACATTTTTATTTCAAGTATCTGTGATTTATATAAAAAGTGTCCTCATAATCAAAACAATTAGTGCATCTGATGGACTCATGCTGTGATTTATTTGCAATTCAGGGGGTTAACTACTGCAGGCCAGATTGTGCAAAATAAGTATGGAATGATTATTCGATAGCAATAATAAAAATAAATTTTCAATTCATTCATCATTAACAACATACTGCCCATAAAGCATAAACATTGGTACATTAATGCAATACAATTATACAGAATGCATAACTCATCACATACTAGATATAAAGTACAGTGAGACCTGTCTAAGCTAACCCCTGCATCAACCAAAAACCTGTCTAAACTGAACTCTTGTATCGAGACATACAGTGAATTTCATCTAGCGATTTAATCAATCTATCCCAAATTTTCAGTCTTGAAATAGTTCAGTAAAGACAAGCTTTACTTTTAAATATATATATAACATTTTTAACAGGTTCAAATATAAACAACTATAGTAACAAATAAAGGTACAAAAATAAAATAGTTTACATCCAAGCAATAATACCTGATCCTCTAAAAGGCCCTGAGAAAAAAATCAAACATATCTTTAAAATAATTTCCAAATTCAGCAACCTTAAAAAAATCTTTTACAATTACTTATATATGCATACTTAATTTTACTTTCATATTTCTTAGTTCTGTTCGGGTTAAAACAATAAACAGTCAGCTGACTCTCTTTGTCTCAGACTCAGTTGACTCAAAATTCTGCACGAGTTGAAATATTTCTAACTAAGTTGAAACACGGTACTTTATATTGATTTATTTTGTTTGAGTTCATTTTGATATCTACCTACTGCATGCTCACTAAAATAAAATCAGATTATTAGTAGTATCAACTTGATTGTCCTTATTATTGTCCTATGAGATGTGAAAAAAGTTTTAAAATATTTATAATCCTGAGACCAAACTTTGTAAAGACACAATTGTTTACAGCTTGTTACTATAAAGATATCCTGACCAACTGATCCTATGATTCAATGGCAAGACACCCTCTGTCTGACACAATGTCAGAAAAGAAATTGTTTATGTCAATGAATGACTGACAACAAATAATAGATAAATGATTAAATTAATGCAAAAATAAACCTCATAATAATGCAACCATCCATCTTTAGCTCTGAAAAATCTTCTTTTCCATGTTTTTAAAAGTGTGGCTTTTTTCTTGTTCATTGGCAACTTTTCCATCAACCCTTCCATATTGACAAACTGGTGTGATATATCTTCTGTAGACTATAATGATATACTTCAGATAAGTTTATTGATTTCAATATTTTCATAGCAGACAGAATAGATAAAAAATACTACTTTTGACAAAAAACCTATAAGTGGTCCTCAGTTGTTTTTGTATAATTGTTAATTTCATATATCATTGTAAAATTCTTTAAAAAAATTTCTGACCACTAGTTAATAAATGATAGATCAATGTCATGTGACATGTCAAACACAGTCACTATATTTTTGTCTAACATAATCCATATACAAATTTGCTGACCTGTCATGCATATTTATTGAGAAACAATGTTTAATAAAAAAAAGTTGACCTGACCGCTGAAGCATGAAAATAAGGTAAGACCATATGTCAGAAAGACATACTCTATACAAGAAATTCACACAAAAAATATTTTTGACCTGGCATAATAAGTTATATGTCTAAGGAACCAATATGATCCACTCTGACAAATGCTAAACAAGAATGTGTCCTTAGTACACGTTTGCCCCACTCGCACTATCATTTTCTATGTTCAGTGGACCGTGAAATTGGGGTCAAAACTCTAATTTGGCATTAAAATTAGAAAGATCATATCATAGGGAACATGTGTACTAAGTTACAAGTTGATTGCACTTCAACTTCATCAAAAACTACCTTGACCACAAACTTTAACCTGAAGTGGGACAGACGGACGAACGGACGGACGGATGAACGGACGCACAGACTGAAAAACATAATGCCCCTCTACTATCGTAGGTGGGGCATAAAAATGAGCAATTTCATTGAGGAAGTTTATCATTAATGTGAAATGCTCCTTATCCAAAATGTTTATCTGATCACCAAGGTTACCATAAACAGCTACCTCTATGTAGTAAATGTATGATATTTTATGCCTACAGTTTCTCTATAAAGTATTTCAACAAGTTACCTGCTAGTAACTAGATACTTTACACAAATTCGTCCATATCATAGGCCTCCATTGTGGTATATTAGTGATATTTTAACACAAACTTCTAGTATTAGATACACCTTGAGGGCGTTAGCCCGAATGAGTGTAACAAATCACACCAAGATATTATTGTCAATGCAGAATGATAGTTTTCAATAATTTCTTTCAGCGGTTTGATCATATGTTATTGAAAAGCATGATAAATGCAGGGTATCCAATTTCATTTAAACGACATCTTGGTGTAAATTTGTTTATACATGTACATGCATGTGTATAACAAAAACTGGTTTTTAAAACATCTTTATCCCCACAACCTAGGTTTTATCAAAATAGGCTTGGTCTTTAGAGTGTCATTTAGGTGTAAGTAGTAGCTTTTTCACATATAATTCTTTTAAGATAAAGCGTCATTGTCTTATACACATATCTTACCTTTTTTTCTTTTTTTTTTTGGGGGGGGGGGGGGGGGGGGGGGGGGGGCTTCTCAAGGTAACCTCTATGGTGCATCTGAAATAACTTTGTATCATGTAATCCATTTACTTTGAAAAACAAATATGGTTGGGGCTCCTGTCTTGACAAATTTCCATGCAAAACTTATTAACATGCCTAAAACAAATTGAAAAGGTTAGTTTCAACCTGCAAAATCTACTTACATCTTTCTCTAGTTTCACTGTGTACAATACATTCAGAAGCTTTGTCTGTAAAGTAAACCAAAACATAATAACCTTACAATGTCTTCCTAATTGTTGCTTACTGACATCAGTATCATATAGTTATTTCATTAACAGCTCTATTTAAGACTCATCCTCAATAAGCATTTAATTTGCCACTGTTAAACAGCCATCCATCCATCCATTTCAGACTAAGGCAATACCTATTCTTAATACACAAGGAGGGTAATCATACGGTCTTAATAGAATGAAGTAAACAATACATCACTATAAATGTAAGCTGAAAAGACCAATCTCAAGTTATTTTTCATGAATGAGTTACACCCATTGACCACCAGAGGTCAATTGTGTAATGATGTCATTGAACAACAGGTTCTTATTATGACATAATAACAAGCATTGTGCCATAAGAAATGTAAGGGAAACCTCACAATTTGAAAGTACTCTATAATATAAAATCAGGAGACATTGGATGTTGGATGTGAACTGATTGATATTTTAGTCTTAGATACATGATTTTTTTCATTAGTTGTTATTGGCTTTGAACTAGCTGTCAGTAACTGCGAGTACTCTTAGATCTGTACTTAGTGTCTTTTCGTTTTTGGGATGTACAATTAACCGTCCACGTCCACTCTGTATTTTTATTAGATGTATTTCTATTTGTATCTATCTGATGAGTTAAGCTTTTTTCAATTGATTTTTATAGTTTGTTCTTATGTTGTACTGTTACACCACTGTCCCAGGTTAGGGGGAAGATTGAGCGCTCACAAACATGTTTAACCCTGCCACATTCTTTATGTGCCTATACCAAGTCAGGAGCCTGTAGTTCAGTGGTTGTCGTTGGTTCATGTCTGTCATATCTGTTTTTCGTAAATTGGTTTATTATAAATTAGGCCGTTAGTTTTCTCAATTGAATTGTATCATATTTTTCATGTCAGGGCCTTTTATAGCAGACCATACGGTATGGGTTTTTCTCATTGTTGAAGGCGGTATAGTTGCCTATAATTGCTTACATTAACTTCATTTGAACCTTGGTGGATAGTTGTCTCATTGGCAATCATACCACATCTCCTTATTTTTACAATGATTGCCAATGAGACAACTATCCAACAGAGTAGACTATTTTCCTGCATTTGAACCATGTATTGACAAATTTTGTAAACTACATAAGATAAGTAAGGAAAGTTTTACAAGTATTTTCTTCTTTGAAAACATTTCTAAGATAGGTGAAAACCAGATATGACAAACAAAACATATATATTTGCCCATTATTTTTTCAGACAAGTTTCCATGAAAATTATAATTGTAGGATTAATATCAATAAAGATATTTTTAGATGAAAAAAAAAAGATTACAAATATGCAATAAGACAGAAGATATAGATGATGCTTTCTCTCCCTCAACATAACAGTACATTTTTAGATCATTGCAAGGTATAATTAAGAGTATAAATCTTAACATATATGACATATTTTCCTTACAGGATCCCAGTTGATTAAGTTAATTCTGTGTGGAGCTATCTCATCATCATCTATAGGTACACCATGTGCTTCTTCAGGACTAAGATCGAGGTCATCTATAACATCTGTAACAAAATAAAAGAAAAACAAATTGGTACCATAAATTGCTCCCTAAACTGCACTGATAAAAATTAAGACTATGGTTTTACTAATTTGCATGTCCAGTTAGTCTTTAAGGTGATAAAATATTTGGAAAACTAGAGCCCAAGATTGATCCAGAAGTGTATTGAGAAAAAGATGTTTGAAGACATTGAAAGATGATGAACAAAATGATAGCAAAATTTGCATTGCCTTTCAACTCTAACTTAATCCCTTAATCTGATGATAAGTCAATGTTAACAAGACCTTCCAAATATAAATTAAATGACTTGTTAACATGTCATACATACAAAATTTGACCTCGTTGATAAGATATAAATATTATTGTAAGTGTGGGGCACTGACACCATGAAATTCACTTTCTGTAACTTTTGTTGTAGCTGAGCTTGATGAGATGAACAATGAATGTTAATCACAGAACCATGAAAATGTGGTTAAAAGCAAGTGAAACCATCAAGATTTGCATGTATACATAATATATAATGAATTAATAAATGTATCAACTATTAGTTTGAATAACTACTTTAATCACTGTGTATCATCGCCACCGGAAATTGGGTACTAACGAAGCGGAGAGAAATGAAAAAAAAAGTAAACAAGGTAAGAATTCATTCAATTAAAAGCATTTCTACTGATTTGACTAGGGTACCGCTTAAGAAATGATTTTCTGATATATAATTCTTTAAATTATTAGGCCGATAAGTACAAAATTAAGACAAGATTTTGTGTTATACTCCAAAACTTGCAACTTAGTACCCGAAAATTTCGAGGTCGATCGTCCTTTGTCGCCCTTTTGGCAAGATATTCAACTTTTTTTTATTATTTTTCCAGACATACTTTTAGATTATTATAGTGTGGCATCATATTTACTGAAATTTGTTGTCAAAAAGATGTTTTTGAAAGAATATAGACCATAACAGATAAAGTCTAGGGTACGGCAACTTGCTCGTGTTGACAAATTTACTGTATGGCAACTTGTTTTCAACTGTATGGCAACTTGCTGTTTTTAAAATATTCATTTGCCGTCTTTTTAAAGAAAAATAAAGTATTAAGTTCAAATATCTAATTATGCATTTGATAAAAATACAATTCGCTTGACAGCATTTAAGATGTATACACAATATAAGACTTGAACACAGTCCTATTACATCTTTTACATACCCGATGTATACTATATGAATACGGCATATACAAAAGCTGGCAAATGTTTCAACTTTCGGAAAAGCATTTCACTGTTTCATTGACCTGTTTTATTCCCCTGACGTTATATGTGTCTGTCACTGGCCAGGAACATGTAATATAGCGGCTGTCGTAGGTTGCTGTCTGACATTTGTTCATGATTAGAATAAAGAACATTAATTTTCTAGAAATGAACAAGTTCGGTAGCTAACACTGTTTGTTTTTAAAAATATTAACCTTATATTAATCATTTTTGGAAAGAATGAAAGAAGAACCCGATACAAGGGATACAAATCTTGCTGTGGCTACGGCATATACTATTTATATAAACTTTCTACTTGAGAATAAAGATGACCTTGTATGAAGTTTTTTTTTGGTTGTCATTTTAATGCTATATACTTATTAATACAATACACAAAAGCTAGCATCTTTGACTTGTAAGTTAAAGAAATATAATCAAATAACATCTAATAAGGTTAGGTTAAAATATTTTTTTAATTCCTGATGATGCATACTCATAAATTATTTTGGAAAAATCCACGAAAACTTAAATGTTGATTTGATAGCGTTCTTTTATTTATTTGCCCTCGTAAACAGTTTTGTTAAAATACCGAAATCGGTAAATTCTTATCGTGAAATAATAAGTCGAGTACACCTTTTTACATTCAGGCGTGCTTTAGTTCACTTTTTTCTTCTTATTAAGAAAAATGATTTTAATTTTAGCATCTATCTAAAGATGAGATTATTTACACACACACACACAAATAAGGCTAACTGTTGAATTTGAAACACTGACTTCACATTTATATTCAACCAAACAGATAGGCTGAGATCCATACATGTATAAGTTCAAAACAGAGAAGGTGTGTTTGAAAACAAATAATCATGTGCTGCTACATGTATATCATTTAAAGCAAATGCAAGTCTTACTTGTATTAATTATATAACTTTTATTGGCACAATATCACATTAAAATTTACTGAGAAATATTATACATAGTAAACATGAAAATGTACTACAATGAGAATTCGGACGAATATACCCCTTTTTTCCTTTAAAATAAAAAGATTGATTGAATTTACTTAAACTAAAAAAAATACAATCTTATTTTCGATAAGAAACAAGAAAAAATAATTCGAAACACAATTCATGATTTATTTCTCCTAATTTTCAATGAAAAAAAGGTATTTTCTTCACTTTTCTTTTAACAAGTTATTAGTTTCAAAAATTATAAAAATAAACAATGTATTTTACCCAGCACATTCTTAAAGTGTCTGTCCGAAGTCACGAGCCTGTAGTTATGTGGTTGTCTTTGGTTCATCTCTATCGTATTTGTTGTTTTTCGTACATTGTTTGGTTATGAGTTATAGGCCGTTAGTTTTCTTGTTGAATCCTTCCACATTTTTCATGTCGGAGCTTTTTATAGCCGACTATAAGGTACGAGTTTTCGTTGTTGAAGGTCGTATGATAGCATATAATTGCTTACATACACTTTATTTGACCATGGTGAATAGTTATCTTATTTGCAATCATACCACATCTCCACTGTTTATATTAAAAAAAAAACATTCTTTCCAGCACCAAGGAAAGATGAATGGTCGTTTTTTTTTATTGAACTTACAAAATTTCACCCTGACAACAAATAACACAACAGTCGTTAGTAGTATAACGATATATGAATGTATTTAGGATAATATGGTTGAAAAAAACCTTTTTGTCTTTAAAAACACAAAGTCGAATAGAGGTAAGCAACGACGACTTCTGAACGAAATTAACGGCATATATTTTATAATATTTAATATGTAGTTTATTTTGTATATTTGGAAGCCGGTAAAGCTTTGATATGGACAAAATATCGTCACTTGATATTATCTAAACAGTGATTAATTTCATCTTTAAATTACAATGTATTTCAAGACGCCGTACAGACAAAAGTTGTTATTTTGCAATTCGCCGTACAACGTTCTGCAATTCGCCGTACAATAAACAAACAATGTTTTGATCAATATTCTTTAAAAAACTTCTTTATGACAGCAAATCTCAGTAAATATGATGTCACATTATCATAATCTAAAAACGTGTCTGGAAAAAAGAATGAAAAACTTGAATATCTTGCCAATGGGACGTCAAAGGACGATCGACCTCAAAATTTTCGGGTACTAAGTGGCAAGTTTAGGAGTTTAACACAAAATCTTGTTATAATTTTGTACTTATCGGCCTAATAATTTAAAGAATTATATATCAGAAAATCATTTCTTAAGCGGTATCCTAGTCAAATCAGTAGAAATGCTTTTAATTGAATGAATTCTTACCTTGTTTACTTTTTTTTTCATTTCTCTCCGCTTCGTTAGTACCCAATTTCCGGTGGCGATGATACACAGTGTTAATACAATAACTATGTAAATGATTTACTGAATCCTTCTGAAAACTTGGCATTGATCACTGAACCATGAAAATAAGGTTAAAACAAGGAATTATTTGAATCTGGAATAATGTTGAATTCTGAAAAATTGATAAGAAATGTTGAAAACTAACCCAACTAACATGGCTAAAGTTAATTTTACTTTCACTGATATTTAAGTATGAACTGGTAAACAACATTGCACAATGATAATCTAATAAAGCTTGACAAGAAAACATTTCTGTCAGACAATTTCAGATTTGGATCTGATTTAATGAAAAGAAAAGGCTGTGACATGCTTTTAATTTATTATTATAAATACAGTCTTTCATTTTCTTTCCAAACAAAAATGTAAATGAAATTAAAGAAACTTTAAGCATAGATGTGTCTTTGACACATTCCTCATTTCCATTCTCAATTTTATTTTTTACAGAGTTTGTCTTTAGTGCCATGTGGAGACAGTAGAGTGCCTCCCCGTCCTTCAGGTTTATGCTCTTATAATATACTAGAATAACTAGATTATGGAGTGTGTGTCCGAGCTAGAACTTCTCTATTTTCATTACTTTAGGAATATTTATCAACAAGAGTGCACACGCTGAAATGTCTCGCCTTCTTTACTAACCATTGATTTTATGTTGATAGTCCTAAATACAAAGCTTTACTACAAGTAACACATAAACTTAACATGATCCAAGAAAATGAGGTCAAGGTCAGATAAACCAAACGAGAAATACATGTACACCTTACAATCATTCAATAAACCAAACATAGTTGACCTATTGCTTATTGTTCCTAAGAAACAGTCTTAAACAAGAAAACTTAACATTGACCAATGAACCATGAAAATGAGGTCAAGGTCAGATGAACCATGCCAAACAGACATGTACACCTTACAATCAATTTAGGCATTAAATATAGTTGACCTATTGCTTATAGTATCTAAGAAACAAACTTAACCATGAAAACTTAACATTAACCAATGAACCATGAAAAGGAGGTCAAGGTCAGATGATACCTGCCAGACAGACATATACACCTTACAATCCTTCCATACAACAAATATAGTTTATCCATTGCTTATAGTTGAAGAAAAACAGACCAAAACACAAAAATCTAACACTGAGAAATGAACCGTGAAAATGAGGTCAAGGTCAAATAAAACCTGTGAGACTGACATGTACATCATAAAATATTTCCATACACCATTTATAGTTGACCTATTGCATATAGTATTAGAAAAAAAGACCAAAACTCAAAAACTTAACTTTGACCACTGAACCATGAAAATGAGGTCAAGGTCAGATGACACCTACCAGTTGGACATGTACACCTTACAATCATTCCATATACTAAATATAGTAGACCTACTGCTTATAGTATCTGATA